TACATAAACAACAGATTGATTTCCGACTTCGAACACCACTTGATGTTGTTGCCTCATCGTATCGTTGTCTTTTCGCATCCATTATTTTTGTAATTCTTTTTCGTTTTGCACCAGCCCGCCCAAACCTCATCGGCCCAGTAAACGAAGATGATGGTGCCCCTATTGGTGAATTAACCAATTTGCAGACTTCGTATCTATTGTACTTCATGTCAACAAATAGGTTGTTTGTAAATTTTCGCTTTGTCGCACCAGTCCTCGTCTGTGTATAATTTGATGACGTCGACGGTTGTACACTATTAACAGTACTACTATCAACATCAACAGTAGCACAAACTTCGTACACTTCGTGATTTTTTACTGTATCGCAAAGTTCCATGTTGCTTTTCTTGATCTTTACCTCCTTTTCATAAGGTTGAGATTCCGTTATCTTTATTGTGTTTAGATTCCTGGCTATGGACTTTACTTCGTTGTCTTCGAACACGTCGTCGTCTCCAATTTCACAGTCAGCGAAGAAATCGTTGCCACAATCACGATCCATTTTGAGATGAAGTAGGTTAGAGGTTTCACTGGTGAATGATGTTCCCAAAATTTGCCCGTCGATATTTATATTTGCTTTAATCACCTTACTCGTTAAATATACCACAAAATTCTTGTACTTTGCCATATTTTTTAATTAGCTAATTGTACCGGCCTATTTATATTACAAAATGATTATTTTTTAATGACCTCATTAACTTTGTTGGAGTACTTAGCACATTGTGTACTCCTTATCCGTTTGTCTCCAATAGGTGAAAGCTTGGTACATTGCAAGTTTCATCAAAGCTTAGTGTTAATGTCCGATCAGTCTAAGGCACAAAAGTTAAGTTTGGTGTCACCCACAGAAATATTAAAAAAATATATCTGTGGTGTCACCACTACAGCAATACCAGCTGTTGTCGTAAGTTAAGTTTCACGTGGTATATTATTGTTAGGAAATCAAGATCATTAGTCGTCGTAACGAGGTGGGTAGCCCGTAATTAGCGTCGTGGTACTGATTCAAAGTTCTGTCTAAGCACGGAAAGTAGATATTTTAAGTTGTCGTTGATTCAGCTCAGACCGTCCCAGCTACAGACGTAAAATAGATTAGCAGACCCAACATTAGGTACCTAAATTTTTGAAGCCAAAAACACACATGCGCAAATTGTAGCTTAAGCGGGGCCGGAGTAAAGTCCGCATTAGAAATGAAGGACATTATTATGTACCCATATAAACAATTAGCGTGTGTTTAGGATAAATAGTCAATATTTATAGTAAACACGGAATAAACATCCATTTTTACTATAATTTTTATGTAAGTACCTATGTGTTACCGGAAATGTATGAGAATTCTATGAAATTTATACTATAATTCCAAAATTAGGTATTTAGGAACTGTAAAAATATACCTAGTTTTAAAAATTACTCAATATGTAGATATGTATTAAATAATTTTAATTTCACTCGATGTTGATACTTCATCGTATCGTTTTCTTTTCGAATCCATAATTTTTGCAATTCTTTTCCTTTTTGCACCAGCCCGCCCAAACCTCATGGGCCCAGTAAACGAAGATGATGATGACCCTATTGGTGAATCAACCAATTTGCAGACTTCGTATACCTCACTATTGTAGTTCATGTCAACAAATAGGTTATTTGTAGATTTTCTTTTTGTCGCACCAGTCCTCGTTTTTTTATCATTTGATGACGTCGACGGTTGTACACTGTCAACAATAGCACAAACTTCGTACAGCTCAGCGTCATATTTTGCGTCAAAGTATATTTGATTTTTTACTGTGTCGCAAAGTTCCATATTAGTTTCAACCTTTTCCTCCTTTCCGTATGGTTGATATTCCGTTATCCTTATCGTGTTTAAATCCCTGGCTATGGACTTTACTTCGTTGTCTTCGAACACGTCGTCGTCTCCAATTTCACAGTCAGCGAAGAAATCGTTGCCACAATCACGATCCATTTTGAGATGAAGTATTTTAGAGGTTTCTACAAAGAGGTCTTAGATTTTACCTAAGCTGGATGTCGTGACCGTCTGTGTGGTTGGATCCTTACTGCGTTATTTTACTCTAAGGTGCATTGGGGCCAGTGGGTACCTGCTCAGTGACTCAGAGCCCCCTTTTGTACGGGGCCCATGTACATGGTATTCTTAAATACTACGTGGGTAATCCGACACTGGCAACAAAATAATCTTTTGTCTGCTAATAACAATAATAACCGATTACCTACACAAAATTACGGGTTTTGTCTTCATTTTGTTTAATTCAAGGCCGAGTAGGTAAGACCGTGGCATTTTCTTATTATGGAGTTTGTACTTGTCATAAGTTGTCATTCGGAATAAATGCAATTTGCCTTTTTCCGCCGCAGAGCACGGGACATTGCATGTGCAGTTTAATTTGTCAATTTATCTTCTTTGTCATTAATCACTTTGTTGAATGTGATATGGATCTTTGTAGAGCAGGATGGTTAACAACAAAATACTTATGTTTATGAAAGTTATCTAGTATATAATAAACTAGCGACCCGCCTCGGCTTCGACGGGTGCAATATGTATGTATTATAGTACATACAAACCTTCCTTAATCAATCACTCATAGACACAGATAAAGAATCACTCTATCTATTAAAAAAAACCGCATCAAAATCCGTTGCGTAGTTTTAATGGAGATGAACGATGACCTGGCGGCCATTCTAAACTGGTCCGATAGGTTTGGCATAGCAGTGAATCCTGGGAAATGTCAGGCCATTCTTATAGGTGGCCCCCGCACGTTGAATGGAGTTGACATGGCTTCCTTGCCGGCCGTAGTTTTCGATGGAGCAGTAATCCCGTATAGTGATGAGGTGAAAAACCTGGGACTGCATATGGATAAAAATTTGAAGTGGCATGCTCAGGTCACCAGTGTGTGCAAAAAAGTTACTGGATCTTTGCGAGTTTTGTATCGTGCGAAAAACTTACTTCCTCCCGCTACGAAGGCTATGTTGGTGCAGGCTTTGGTTTTCCCTATTATCGATTATGCTGATGTGTGCTACTTCGACCTGAATGCAGATTTCCTCAACAAACTTGACCGACTTCTGAATAACTGCATTCGATTCGTCTTCAACCTGCGTAAATATGATCATGTTTCGGCACATCGGCTGCAACTAAAGTGGCTGCCCATACGCCAGCGCAGGGAGCAAAGGGCGCTAACCACTCTGTTCTCCTTTCTTTGTTCACCTTCTTTACCCAGTTATCTATCTCCTTACTTTCAATACTTGTGCGCAAACCACAGTAAAAACCTTCGTTCTTCCCATAACCGTCTTCTCCAATGTCCCACTCATCGCACTGATTTCCTTCATTCTTCTTTTTTCGTACAGGCAATTTTGCTGTGGAATGCGCTCCCCCTGGATGTCAGGATGGTGTCGACACGTCTAACATTTAGGCAGAAAGTACGTGAGCTTCTCTTGAAGAGATTGGCTGAATCATCACGCTAATTATTTACAGAGTATTAGTTATTATGTTCATATTTATATGCTATGAGTCTATGTATGTATGTATGTATGTATGTATGTATGTATGTATGTATGTAGGTATGTATGTATGTATGTATGTATGTATGTATGTATGTATGTATATTGTATTGTACTCGTGTGTAGGTATATGTATTACTATTATATTTTTTTATGTTCATTTCTGAAATATGTTAGTATAATCTTCTATTTTCTCAATTAAATCGTTGCCTGCTTCTTGCTCCTACCATTCACTCTTCTCTGCATCACCCAAAGGTCAGACTGGGAGAAAATGCCTGCGGCATTAAGTCCACCTTGTGTACACTTTGTGCATGAAGCGTTAATAAATAAATAAATAAATACCCAAAGGTCAGACTGGGAGAAAATGCCTGCGGCATTAAGTCCACCTTGTGTACACTTTGTGCATGAAGCGTTAATAAATAAAAAAAAATAAATATTTTTATGTAATTGTGGAACAATAAAAAATCTAATTATCTTAAAGAAATGGCTACGGAAAAGGTCATTTTGGCGAGTTACCCTTTGATGACGCGTTGCTATATAGGTCGCAAATGCAACGGACCCAGGAGCCCTGGGTTCGTCACTAGCCACTGGCATATTGATTTTAGAATAAGAATGGCATGGCATGAAATCTGTAATTACAAAGACCGAAAAAATTTTTTATCTCTGCCTGCGGCATTAATGCGTTACGTAGTAGATATGTCGCAGTAAGATAGAGCAGTACCTAGGTAATATAGTACCTAGGTAATATAGATCTTTAATATATCTGTGGTCATATCCCTAGGGATGTAATTATATACCGTAAAATATTTATTTACCTATATGAAAGCGTTTCATTACTATCCCACTAGGATTAAGTTTAGTGAAATAGCTTTCAGAGTGTGCGGCCGCTACTAAATTATGTGCATGTAGGTAAGAAACATTAATCCTAGATCATGATTACTGTTCTTCTTACCAAAATCTCAATTTACTTGATAAGATATAAAGATATCTCAAAGTTGTATATACCTTTAGGACCTTTTCAAGATAGGACTATTCCATGATTCATGAACAATCTAATATATAATATTCTCGTGTCACAGTTTTCGTTGCCATACTCCTCCGAAACGGCTTGACCAATTTTGATGAATTTTTTTGTGCTTATTCGGTATTTATGAGAATCGGCGAACATTTATTTTTCATCCTCCTAAATGTTAGGGGTAGTCCACCCCTAAATTTCTTTTTTGTTTTTTAGACAAAATTTTTAATTTCTATTTTTTTATGATACAACATACAAAAATACATACAATCCTCAATTTACACCCTTCTACGAAATTATTTATATTGCAAAACAACGTTTGCCGGGTCAGCTAGTGTTGTTATAAAATTACCTTCATTCAAACTCTAAATAAAGCAACGATTTTTAGAAACCGCATGCCTACTTTTTTCAGAACTCACTACTTCATGATAATTTACACAATACCTTGTTACAGAGGTACTGAAGAATACCTTGGCATAATGGGTGCAGCGGACATCATCTGCTCGACCCTCGGCAAGGCAGTGAGTGGAGCCGCTGGTGGCTACACGACAGGGCCTAAGGAACTCATCACTTTACTGAGAAACGTGTCTAGACCTTACCTATTCTCCAATGCACCGCCACCGCCTGTCGTCTGTGCGTCGATTAAGGTATTTATTTTTCTACTAAGTAATCATTTATTCACAGTTCTTTCAAATATCTAGATTTTTATCGGAAAAGCACTTCACTTAATGTAACTTTCACAACTTGATTCACAAGTATTTTTTTTTACTGCTTTGTGTCGTTACAATATTATGTTGTTATTTTGCAATTTCATGTCATGCCTCCGCTTATTTGATTTCAGTTATAGTCAAGTAGCTTTTGCTAGATTTTTTTAATGATAAGTTCCCTACCGATCTACATAATACGTATGTAGGTATTGTGTACCTGTATTTTTGGATTTGGTGAACTCTTTTTTCTATCGTTAGGTACTAGGTGGTTAGATAGAAACATAGGACTGATAGTTTTTTTGTACAAATGAACAAAAAAGTAACTATCTTTTCTTCATTATAAGAATTAAATCATCGCTAACAAAACAATGTCTATATTCTAGTCTTTAGATCTAGTAGAACATAGCGGGGAGCTCCGTCAACGTCTCAGGGAGAACACGCGCGCCTTCCGCGAAGGTTTGAAGTCAGCTGGTCTGACGGTGGCTGGAGACGACCACCCCATCTGTCCCGTCATGGTGGGCGAGGCACCACTCGCCGTCGAACTCGCTTCTAATATGCTTAGTAAGTGATAATTATTCTGTTAAGATTGAGCAGGTTATTCAGAACGAGGCTAGGGAACAGTCGGATCACCTGTTGGTGAGCAATGTAAGAAGAGAATGAAGAAAGAGTTGCCAGCCTTTTACGAAGAGATACTTAAGCGATACTTAAGCGTCCGGCGGCGTAGTAGAACGCGATCGTTGTTTAACTCCGGAGGTGAGGCCGGTGAAGCCGGCCCATTCTTCCAGGCGCATGGCTCTTCTTTTTTACATTCAAGCTATGTTCTTGCTTGCATTTCAATATTCTTTTTATTAAATTTTTTTACGTATCTTTCCAGAGCGCGGTATCTACGTGGTAGCGTTCAGTTACCCGGTAGTTCCGAAGGGCGCAGCGCGCGTGCGCGTGCAGCTGAGCGCTGCGCACACGCAGGAGGACGTGGCGCGCGCCGTGCAAGCATTCGCTGACGTCGCTAAGGAGATAGGCATCGTTAAAGCGTAGTACCATAGGTACGGTAATCGATCTCTAGGCTTGACGTAGAATTAATTTCTGATTTTTATTATTTACTACAATAAATAACCGGTATTTCTTCTACCCCTTTCTGGAGATTTCAAAGATGAAATGATTATACATAAGTATGATAATCCAGAAGCAGTATAGCATATTATTTTGTTAAAAACATAATTTGAACAAACTTAATGTCTAGTTATTTGGCCAGTGACCTTGAGATCGATCCTTCGCTTGCTTATATCTCAGCAGACGTCCTTATGTAATATTTGTAAATATCAAGATTGCTTATGTTTGTGTATGTATGAAAATAGGACTGAATCAATAAATGTTTTACTGTTATTGCATTTTAATTAGTTTTCTAATATCTTTATTTCCTGTTACCTTGTCCTTTGATTTTCCTCTTATTATTTCTCGTTGTGGCTAAACATAATACGTATATGCAAAATCGACTGAACAGTGCCTTTTCATGGCGTCGGCTGTATGAATGTTACATACTGACTGATAACATAACATCAAGCCTTTTATCCCCGAAGGTGTAGGCAGAAGTGCACATTACGGCACTTAATGCCACTGAACAATATAACACCCACTTTTCACTATTTATGTTATGAGTCCCATGTAATAGGTAGTGAGCCTATTGCCATATACCGGGCACATTTCCAGACTCTGTACTACCAGAGTTTTCTTAAAGTACCCAGTAAACCCAGTAATGTAGTTTGCCCGACCCGGGAATCCACTCCGAGACCCTTTGCCCGGCAGTAGCACTAGCGACCACTCAGCCAATGAGGCAGTCGCGTATGAATGTTATATTTTTTATTTACACGATATTTTATGTACTGCACTGGTACACAGATACGTGTGTAATTTCGACCAGTGATCCTCAAGTTGATTCAGGGGTGTGCAACAGTAGTTAAGCAAGTTTAACTAAACCACATCAATCATTCTTAACACCAAGAATCACACGTCTGATTGTAAAATAAAACAAAGCTGTATAATAATAACTGATCTATTAACAATAATTTATTACAGTAATAAAACACACACTCGTACAACATAACACACAGTGCCGCGTGTGTTCACTACGCTCATTAAACTAATTACAATTAAATATTTACATTAAATCGTACTCAATTCTCACTCGACGATATTGCATTGGTGCACCTCACCTCACTTCGTTGACATACAAGACACAAGACGTTCACAAATAAAACAAACAGGTCACCATCAACATAACACTAACTCCATATTAATACAAAGTCAAATAAACACATAAATATAAGTACAAACACTAAATAGTATTATATTAATAATAAAAAATATATCTTTAATGAAAAACGTATGTACAGTCGAAGGGAAAATATTAAAATACTGACTGAAATGTATGGCTGAGTCAAAATCACGTCCGTCCTGTTCGAATGTCTGTCGTCAACTGCGACAATTCTATCAATCTTACAAATATTTTGGAGGGTATCCGTTCCGCGTCTCGGTAACGTCTACGTGTATATGTCGTGTGGACGTATTGAGATCAAGACTGAGCGTTTCTCTCGTCATCCGACATCGGTTCACGAGTTGGGAGGAACGAAGGATTTCAGTAATCCTCATTGTAGCACTGACGGTTTCCCTGGAATTAAATGTTATCATTAGTGTATGGAAGAAAGGCAATGGTTTCCGTTCGTATGACGAGATTTTCTTCACTAGTACTGATATTACGTAAATTAAAACGAAAAAAAATATATATATACAAACAATCGTTGATTTTAGTCAGGGTCCACACGCTTGGCAAACAAAAACGGCAAACAGCAAACACGAACATATGTATGGATCAAGCGTATGGATACATCGCAAACTGTTTGCCGGACAGCCCTTGATCTGTGTTTATGTTCGCCACTGTTCGACACCGATCCCGAATAGTGACGAACACAAACAGGAACAGGTAAACACGTACAAATACCCATCCACCTGTAGGTGTTTGCTGTTTGTTGTTTGCCAAGCGTATGGACGGGGCTTTAGAGTAATATCAAATCAATAAGTTTTTCTATGTAAAAATGGCTTGATAAGCATTATTTGAAAGTGAAAAAGTTTTATTAATATTCAATCCTGTTTGTTGCAAAGAAACCTTCATATCACTATTAGAAATGTCAAAGTTTCTTTGTTTGGATGTTCATCCGTTAATCACGCTGAAACCACTGAACAGTATTTTGATGAAATTTGGTATACAGGCGGGGTATGGGATGACTTGGGTGATAGGATGTTTTTATCCCGATTAAATGCTCCCATGGAGTAAACCAGGACACATATTTTACGCGTACGGAGTCACGGGCTACAGCTATTTTATATCTAATAATACTATAATTTACGAAGACTGAAACACGAAATAAGTATGTAGCGAAACAGAAACAAGAATTAGTAGATGTAACAAGCTCAGTATCATACTGGCGAGTCAAGAAACAGTTGGGCATGTCATGGTACCTATTAAAGAGGTAAGTAGTCTAAGTAGGTATTATTATTAAGTAAGTAGTACATACCAGGCGGTAGTGTCGTTGTGGTGGTAGTGGTAGAGTTAGAGGGCGGCACCGCGCTCGCTGCCGTCGCGGCCGTCGCCACCGTCGGCGCCGCTGTGCTTACAGGCTTCTGGAACATAGAAAACAATATTTACAGTCAAATTGAGATAAATATTTATATAGATAGTACCTTGACTTTGCAGGTATTGGATATTTTGGGATGTTTGTTGCAAATATTTTATGTTGGAAAGCGTATCAGTTACGCATCCATATATACATATTATAGTTATTCCTTCACTCGTCCTTCTAGATTTTTTATTACCAAATAAGCCATACTTGGTGCTAAATTACAACAAAATAAAAAACATTACCCTCCTTCTTTGGCAGTCGGGTAAAAAAAGTACTAAGACAAAAGGCACGCATCTCTTGATTAATTTGTGTACGCACTTAACAATCATATTATAAAAAAATCTTTTAAGGATTTATTTTACTTACAACATCTATAAAAAAAAACATTGACAAAAATTAGAACGCTGATAACTATTAGCACTGATTTCAATCAAATTACGTCAGACTTAATTACTGTTCACATTAGTGTTGGAATTGTAAGATTAATGAGTTTGATTGACGCACGGCTTTACATGGTATACAGCTGTTCTAGATCAACTTCTGATTTACGATCGCAGTTGAACTCACCGCTATCGGACAAACGGTGATTAAAGTCACAAGACATAACTCGCCAGTGGCGCCATCTAGGAACCGCGAAAACGATTGTGTACGTGATGATTGATATTAATTGCAGAGTAATATAGATAATTAATTGATTAAATGTGACACATTATAGATAATAGATTTCAAATCCTTACAATAAGGCTAAACAAGACTGTCTTTAGATGAATATAATAATAGTCATAAAAGTAAATTAAAGTTCAACATGGTTTAAGCAAATAAGGTCATAACCATTATATGTATATTAATTCCGCAACGTAACCAGCAGTAATAAAATAGCACTTCAAAAACACCAGACAATTATCGAATGACCTCTGATAGAAAATATCGTCAACACGTTTTCATTATTATATTCCAGTCACTTTTCACCTTTATTCAATGCAAATCGAGTTCCATTAAAATTCAAGGTGGCAAGATGTTCCGGATAAACTTGCATCCTTGCATTGATAACACATGTAAATGTCTAGACGACAACAGAACTGACACTTTAAAAAACTGTTAAAATGACCTGACACTGCACGAAAGGCCTATGCAAAGCGAGGTCAACTTATACTGGTGCCTTAATATGGAAACAATTGAACTGAAATGACCTTTATTCCATTGACTTAAGACCAATTTTCGTAAACATAGGTCATACTTACAGTTATTTCCTGTATCCTAGTCTGCAAGGCTTCAACTTTGCTTGTGAGGGTACTGTTAAGGTTCCCGAGGTCCGTTCGGATCTCTTCGTCACGCTTCGTGTTCGCTGTGACGTTGGCTATAGTCTCATTCGCCTTCGCATCTAGTTGGTGAAGAAGATTTCTTACTTCTTCTACCCCTGTTACTGCTGCTAAAGCTTGTTTGTGGGTCGAACTTATTGTACTGTCAAAACCGTTGATCTGGAAAGAGAAAAATATGACATTTAATGGCAGTTTAAAAGCAAGGAACGTGGACAAATGTGGCTAGTATTTTACTGGGACTTCAGGTCACTGCTAAACTGTACGTTATTTATCTCTGTTTCTTGTATGTAAAAGAAAATATGTGCAACAGGGACAATTATATTTACATATCTTCTGTCTCTATTCACCTTTCGATTCCTCATCACCCCGCTATGCGTTATTTGTTTTTAATGTCCAATTACGCAAACGCTACTCAATTTTAACTCGCTTTTCTGTATACTTCTGTCGCTACAAATTCTTTGAAAAATGATAGAGATGGCACGATATTTAAGTACAGTCTAAAATTTAGTGGTTATTCAGTATTCGGGCGCAAAATCTCCAATTGGCTAGTTTCCTAGGTTTAAAATAAATTGTTTCAACTTTTCAATGCAATAAATAATTAAAAAATAAACATACTCTCATCCATTGATTTGACAATTTACCTACTTTTGGATTTTTCCTCGTTAATTTTAAGGAAATAAGTATGCTATTTGACGCAGAAATATGATGACGTCATAAGTTGCGATCCAATACAAAATTCCTAAAAAAGTATCGTTTTTGACATTTCAATAAAAGTATTGATTACCTGCCAACTACCCTATTCAGTTCGGTACATTCGGCAGTAAGGAAGTATGTACTGGAATACAACGGCTAATAGCAAAATGTGATTGTAGTGTACTTCTCATTCTAGGAGCAGATTGCTTCCTGTTATTGTAGTCGCGAGCGCATAATTTGAGTTTTAGAGGCCTTGGGGCTACGCAAGACATTGTCAAAACATCTAAGGTCTTTTTTCGAATAGGTTTCATTACCTACACATCAGAAATCTTCAAAAAATCTATTAACATTAAAAGCAAAACATCAACAATCCATTTTATAGTACTTTAATCCTACATTCGATTACAAATTCAATAAACAATACACCTAACAATCTAGAACTCTAGAACATACTAGTAATGTGATAACTGATAAGGATGATCCGTCATAAGACAGTTTAATACTCAATACGATCGTTATTGTATACGAGGTGCCGATTAGATTATATACTGACCCAGATACTAATAACAACAGAATACGTGGTTCTGAACATAGAAACATTTTGATAGTCATGTATCTGAATGATATTGACAAATTATAATAGGATGATAGGATATGATAATTAAAAAATATTAGAATGGGGGGAAAATCATTTGTCGTATAAGAAAACAATACCTTGATAAAACGAATCAAAGTTTAGGAGTGGAAGGTAGCTACGAGAAAAATCGTTCTGAAACGTGACGTCATACTATATTTCAAATCAATATATCTTTGAAACTATTCGTTTCCGCAAGAAAATAATAAATACGTGTTTAATGTTTTTAAATAATGTACCAGATGGACATCAAAATAAAAAACAGTCATTGACTCTATTACGCCATTGATTAATTCTGTTATATTCTACAGAAAGTTAAAATGCATATTTACAGGTAGCCTTTTACCATATTTTAGTTACTAACGCCCGAATACTGAAAGACTACTCAATTTTAAGTCGCTACGTCGCTACTTGTGGGAGAACGTAGATCTTTTTCTATGGTATAAGCTAGTAAACGAGCAGACGGATCACTTGGTGGTAACGAATTCCGGTCGAAACTATCCATTCGTGCCGAAGCATGGTCCTCCCACACTTAAATCTACGCTAGACAATGTATTTTCTATTGTATTACCGGCACTCAAGACGTTAAATTATGTTAAACACTTTACATACCTAAGTAAGCTGTAGAGGCACAAGTTTATTACGAGACGATAATTACGTTGAGCTGGTCAGGTCAGTGACCGATATCACGCATTGGTGGTATGCATAAATATACTTATGTTTAGCGTTGAGACTGGTATAAGGAATAAAAGGATATTGCTAATCCTATATAAGCTAGTTTTAGTAAAAAATGCTTGAAAATAGACGCTCTATCATGCAGATACTAATATTTGGGTTTATGATAAAACTCCAGTCTACTTCTGAATACAAAAATACCTTGCCTGAGTCTGTTCCTGTCCAGAATGGTACAACGTGAGTGTTTTCATTTTCAAGTCTAAGTGATTAGTATGCATATGGGTTAGGCGTGGTATATCATTGCTTACCGCTAGTCGAATTGGTGGTTAAACGCTGACCCAGTATAAAAAAAACATGAACAGTACCTGTGAACCAAATGTCGCGACTGTTCTCTGTAGTTCTGCCAGTCTTCTCGGCGTGTCAGCTAACTTGGGTGCTGCTGACAGCTGTTCTGACACAGCAGCGAGCTCCTGCGCCGCCTGAGCTACCCTCTGCGTCAGTTCTTTGTGTTCCTGGTCCAGTGCTGCGAATTTCGCACTTAGTGCACTGGCATTCGCTCGTAATTCCTTTGCAGTCGTGTGGCATACTTGTAACGCGTCGTCTACACTGTTGCTGCTTCTTGATACTGTGGAAGAGAAAAATCTGTTGTTAGTTTGTTAGGTCTAGAGTTGGATTGCTGTGATATTCATTGGAAATGTAGTTTTAGTGATTAATACGAAGTTAATATTTAAGAGTAGGATTGTTCTAATTATATTTGATACACTAATAATATGTTTAACTTTATTGATCAAAGGAAAATATTTAGCACACATTGGTCTCCATCCTATCAACACAATTCCAATAATCTATGATACCACAACAGTGAAATTTTGTGAAAAAGCTACCATTACACGACTACCTAAGTCAATTTTAACATATTTTTCATCTGTGATGCGATATGATGTTACTAGGGGACAAAAACAATCCTGTGTCAGCTGTTTACAGTTTCGCACGGAAACTTGTGGACAAAGATTGAAGGAAACGGCCATTAATGATCTACACATGTGAAATTCACATTTGCATTATGGTATGAAATTTTCAGGGCGCAAAGACTTAACGTCATAGTTGTTTAAATATTTGAGGATGAAATTAATATGATCTATGATATTCATTATAATCAGTTTTACCTATTATTTTTACAACGGGTCAAACCAAGAATATGGTGTCACCCTTAGCAGGTTGTAAGGGCTCGATTACTGTTGCTTTATGCAAAATCTAGCCTTCCCCAACCCAGTTGGCAAAAAACAAAAAAAAATGAAAACAAATATAGTAAAGGAAGTGTTTTTGAGTTTAATGAGACTTTTTATCAGCAGTCAAATCAAGAATTACCTATGAAATGTAATCATTATAATAATGTCGATAAATGAACCTCAGAACGATTCTCTGAAATAATACCAACGACAGTGAACCAAGAAATTGTAAGTATTCATTAGTGAATACTGAATGGTGAGTTTTCAAGGAACACCGCCGATTTTCGACAATAACTAGGTACCTGTGAAAATAACCGTGTGAAGACGCACAGACATACCATGTGATATATTATCCGAAACTTAAAGGAACATCCTTTACGTTCCGGATAATATATCACAGAAACCACAGCGCAGATTACTTAGGTCATTAACGTGGAACAATTTTCGAGATAATTCGACGAAATTAACGCAATTCGTGGAAACCCCGCTAAGAATCTTTAGCAAGCAATACTGTAACAAAGACAAGCATAAATTCTTTGCGTTCTACACACCCTTTGCGGTACTCCTAGCGAAATATATGCAATAATTCCTTAAGATATCAGCATATTATGTACTTAATGTATCTCATATAGTTGCTGTTAACTTGTGACTCAGTCACGTGCGTATAAAATCTAAGTATATGTATAGACTTAAGGTCTTTATGACTAAACACTTTCTAACGGCCATGTTATTATATTATTATACCTTTGTTATTATTAGACTGTAATAATAATAAAATATTGAGTTAATGTAGGCACCGCACGATATTACAGGTGTTAAGTTAATTTATATTGTGAACAATAATAAACTATTTTATCAACTGACGTCAAAAAGTGTGAAAACTATACAATATTTAATTTGAATCTTTTCTAAATATAACTTATATTGACTACTAGTGACCCACCCCGGTTTCGCACGGGTGCAATATGCATGTATATATATTATTATTATTATAGTATTATTCATTTAAACCTTTCATAAGAATTACTCTATCTATTAAAAACCGGATCAAAATCCGTTGAGTAGTTTTAAACATCTAAGCATACATAGGGGCAGACAGACCGCCGATAGCGATTTTGTTTTATATTATGTAGTGATTTAAATACTTTGAGTCAAAAACACTTTATTAAAGTCGCATACGACTTTGATCCAGAATGATCGTTTGATACTATGTTAGTCGATATGTTAGTCGAAAATTATACATCTTTCAACTTATCCTTAATATTTCAACTTGATATACTATTTCTAATCTAGCCTTAATATATTTAAATATACACAAAAAATAACTTTAGAAAAATTCGCTTTAAAATCACTCAACTGATTAAATTTTAATAGGAGTACCTCAAGGTTCTATCTTGGGTGCCAATCTAACCTTGATTTTATTAATTTCCTGTAAACACTATTTTAAACGGTAAACGGTTTTAAATTAATAGGCTCTTATAGAATAAACAACCTACACCCTTTGACCAGGAAGTAGGACAGGCTGTAGGTAAATGATAAGTTATTAATGTACGTAAAGGTATTGTTATTTCCTTATTTGTATATTCATTTAACTTGATTCAATGTCACAGCAACTTGATTAGTGTGTGGCACATATCGCTATAATTTCTTGTCAAGGGTCCATTATAGATGAACGTCATTTGCTATAAATGGCACAGTAAACATCAATAAAGTTATATGGCACGCTATGTAATTGACTTAATAGTTAGGTATGTGGAGGGCCGAGGGACTTGTGAATTATTTTATGATGGAGAAGAGTACTTGCAGAGGTTTCTATGTAGGTAACTAATTATGTTTAGGTAGGTACATGTACATGGCTCGAAATTATATTTGTGTAGGGACTTGGGGAAGCCAGTTGTGTAATTTCTCTGCACTGGCTTGAAAATTTTAACCAGTGTTCGAGGCTTCGAAGCCAGGTAAGCTCATCATGATTGAAGAGGACGAATTTATACGATACGATACGATTTGGATTAATATTAAATTTACAATCTCACTGCATACGTGATATAGTTGTCGAGGTTTCGCAGGTGAAATCGTGAGGTAGCAGCGTGAATCCCTGTATGATATTACAGATAAGATTGCAATCGATTACTTTGCACATACTAAGGCTACCAATTCGATGGTTGCATCACGCAATTGCATGTACCAATTGCTGTACTCTTGACTGTACCTATGTAGGTATGGTTAGATGAATGTATATCTAATTATCTAAAAGAACTAACAAAACACGAAACTATTTACAATTACAAATGAAAGTAAACATTATTTTCACTATGAAAGGAGGATAATCTTATTGTGATTGTGAATGCAAAATAGACATCACACAGCGTAGGTGTGACTCCATTGTTGGATGTTAGCATTGTATGAGAAATCAAGTAACAACATACGAACGAGGTGACTTTACATAACGAGATGAATCCACCCACGTTTTAACGTTCACCGCTATTATTATGTTGAAGACCTACCAGTTTAATTTGATCTTAGATTAACTGAAGAGGGAACAATTTGTAGAGCACTTATGAGTCGGTAAGGTTTTGTTTATTCTAGCTTAGATTCTATGGGAATGTGTTTTCAATAGACAAGTTTGGCTTTAGTCAACAATATTTATCTCACATTGATAGTCTAGCGTGGTTACTTTGGTCAAGTGCGTTGTGTGTTCAAGTTATTCATTAGCCCATTATAGGGACTGACGCAATTCGAACATTTTTTTAAGGAAGGTCAGGCCTTCTAACTTAATTGTGTTGATTGTCTATATTTTCAAGGTGAACTAATGTATCGGTGTCGAGTTTGACAATGATAATTTAGTACAAGAGACTTATGGAAATGTTTACGACATTCCAAACGTAGAAGAAAAATTATATTATATCGATAACTAAAAACAACATTTACCTAAAACAAGTTGTGATACACGTTTTAAATCTTTTCTTGTGAGGTCTCATCTAAATAAAAATAAAACGAAACGAACCTCTGTCCATTTCAATGCGCAAAGAAGCAATCTGTCTCCTAACATCTACGAACAGCCAGAGGACGGTTGCAGCAGAGACCACGCACACGCAGAAGGCTAAGGCTGCGGCCAGCCTGACAAAGGGTCTGGACCGACGGCGGCGCGAGGTGCGGCGGCCCCAGGGTTCCCCCTCGTCACTGGACGCAGACAGAAGCCGGCCGCCGCGCGAGCCTCCGCCTCCAACCAGCGCATCCAACTCCCGCCTCTTCCTCATCTTCTTCCCAACCCGTAGCGGCACTGCCGCATGCACCGCACTCTCCATAACGCACAAAAACGCTACCGCAAACGCATCCGCACACCACCGCAACACACACACTCACTTTCCCGTCTCAGACAATCGAAAACTCTACAAGGTCTGACACGTGTGATCCGCACCGCGCCTACTTGCCGAATGACCGTAAATGATACTTAGTTCAGCATATGAAATTATAAGTCGTAGTCTACTTCTTTCCGACACTGACTATTAAGAGCAACTCCGAGGTTTAATCAAATGCCATGTTGTGTAAATTACGTCTGTTGTCTGTCTGAGTGTTTGATACAATTACATTGCGATTGTTTGTACACGGATGACAGTGAGACACTAATCGACAATTCACGAACATGCATGTGTAACGAATCTTTAGATTAATTTTATCGCTTTTCAGTGACGACTCATTCACACCGATAACAATGTAATATTAATACAATAATGTACAGCGTTCATACCGATACCGACTTAGGAGCAAAAATAAAATAATTTCGAGGGCATTTCTGTTGCCTGATTGCGTTACGAATATTGGGCGCTACAAAAATATTATTTGGCCTTGGCCTTGATTCATTAGTTAAAGACAGCTGAAACGACCCCAGATTTAAACATAACTGAAACGAGAAACAGGAGTAATATTTATAGCACTATTGTTTATCACAAGACGGCGGTGACTACGTGATTACGATGATAATGTTCTTGATCAGTCAGGCACAATTCAAGTACGTTGGAGTTATAAATTTTAACAGTGTAATCACGAAAGGACCTAGCAGTCTAGGACGTGTCTGTTTCCTTTACACGAGAATAGATGATGAGCGTGATGTATTCTCAATCTTAGTTGTAGCTGTTAGTAGATTTTCGCATTTCAACAGCATCATAATCCCTATAAGTAAGCCCATTTCCAGGAGAGTTTCTTGGAAAGTGATCTTATTTTTTCTATTTGTGTAAATAACATCCTATCTCAATCCCTTCTAGAAGTTTCGTCATGGTTTAAGAAGAGCATATCATGCATATGACATATTAGGTACTTATTTTTTTCTCTTACATTAAAGTAGGCACCAATAACTGAAATTTAAACCGGTTCAACCTACAACAATTAACGCCAATTTTTGGTTTACTTTGAGAAACAATGACCCAGACTGGAAATGTTCTAGAGTCTAGAACTCTAGGCTATAGTTTAGTACGTGCTAAGTATGAACAGTTGGACATAACGCCTACGTAAAGTCGTTTACACGTTGACATTGGTTTGTATCAAATGATATCTTATGTTGTCGGCCTTGATCTTGCGAACCGATTCGATGATTGGTAAATGACTCACAGACTTTTGCTCATGACTTCAATTGATTCGATATGGTTTAATTATGTCACTAATTGAAGACTTTTTTTTATGGGGGAAAAATCATCGAATGACTGCTCACGCCTGGGTGAGAGGCGGGAGGGAGTGTCAGATTCTTACTGACTATAAACCACCCCGTTCTTTCTCCTGCGCTTTGAGCCGGAGCCCCGGTAACCCGTTAGGTTTTCCGCGACATTAATTCAAGACTTAGCTTTCATTTTCCGTAAAAGTATATTAGAATTTCTTCAAGATTTCATCTATGTAAGAATTTCGTTATTTGTGAATTATAGTACGTCTACATCTGGCATTAGTCCATATCCGTAATAAGGTTTATAACCCTCTTGCTTACAATTTATTTCTATTGACTGTCGTTTTTATTTAAAAGTATTCTCTTGTAGCATAACTTGAGATCAAGTCAACCGACGTTAACACAAACTCATGTTCGTATGTCTCACAATTTTTCATAGGAATTATTATGACAGTTTTTTCGTTAGGCCATTTATCAAAATTCCCCCAATAATTATAATTAGGTGGGCAACAAACTAATTAAAGATTAATCTCGATAACCACCAGCATTGGGTTTTTAGGAACTAATCTACCAATCAATGTAAATTATCGTACACAATGTAAATAAATTATTATACTTAAAATGTTAATATTTTTCCTGTTTATTTATCAAGTTGCAATAATAGAACCATGTTACCGGTTATTGGTGTCATTCCTATAATAAATAATTAAATCAATAACCAGTAGTAAGAGGATGTGGTTATTTCCTTTCGATATAAAAGTGCCCCATTAAAACCTATAAAAAAGCTAGGGGTTAATCAGAAACAGTTTTAATCATATTCAAACAAGAAACACTGGAGTATGAAGGTGTCTAATTAATTTTATTCCCATATAGCCTCTAGTTTATTCGCTAAGATAAAAAACATTAACCTCCTTTTCGCGCAATTCCCAATGACGTCATAAGATACGATAAGACAACCGAATACTGATAACAGTATTTACGAGGCAGACACCGTTGTATTATCGACCTACGGGGCCGGCAGACGCGGTGAATGAAAACCACGCATGCGCACTGAAATCCGCGACTTGCGACACTATTGTATTCGAACAATACTAAATATTAAGTTTGAAAGCGAATTAACTTCAGAACAGGTGCGCTGTATACAGTAAATATGTATGAACGGTACAAAATTGATAAAGTCTGTTTTTTGTACAAAAACACATAGACAGACAGACAACAGACAGAGCACTGCGTAACACTCACTATGCACACACACGCTGATCAATACAATAAAATAAAACACTTCACTACACAAACTGAAACACGGCAATATTTTTATAAGAGACTGTACGCCGAGGAATTGGATATTAGGACTAGTCCCAACGGGATATTGTGAATATTATGACGGAACAAGGGTCCAGGGCAACGTTGGGGCTAGAACTGACTGTGACGTCACCCAGGCGCGGCGACGCATGCGTGTTGAAAACACCGCATCCGATTTAGAGATACTGGATGCGAAAGGGAATCAAGGAGAATATTCATATTTTAGGAACGGTGTTAAAATGTAAATTAGTTTCTTTTGGAGTTTAATCATACTTATTAGAAATTTTGCGATTTTCTAAATCTGTATTATTATATTCTTCTATTTGTCATTCCATTTCTAATTGTGTTAATCAAAGTAGAACGAGTATAACAAACAGCTTTGTCTTGCTTCGTTATGCAATACAGATTAAAACATACCACGGACATCATTTAGGCGTCACCTTATTCCGTCTATTTTCAAAACATACGTCACAAGTATTAAGTTTTGATTGGTTCCACTTATATATTTTTATCATATTTGCGTGATTTTTATCAATTAGGTTACGGTCGGTCACGAAGACTATTTTTTGTCATTCGATAAAAAGTTTCGACTGTAAAAAATATCGATGGCGTTTTCAGGTATTATGTTACATCCGTGTTTACTACTATAGCGTAGCTAGTGTCCCAATTTGTTCCACATTAATTACTCAAGAGCGCTGTAGCTGTAAATTGAACAATATTTAATTATTTTGATGACCTGACCCGGAATCGCCTGCGTAGAGCCCCGAGCCTCATTAATTTATTGTTGGAAGAGCTTCATTTTAATTTCTGGGTTTTAATATTTGAATATTGATCTGATACGTTACAGTAAATAAATATAATGAAAACTAAGTTTTAAATGTAAGTAGTATTGTTTATTAGGCAATCTTTAATCCTATTTAAAGCTAAAGGAAAGATGCAGATCGTAATTATAAGTTCGTAACTTTGTTACGACAGAAAATATACAAGGAAATGACCTACTTTCAGTTTATAAAGCAGGAAGTCGTATTTTGATTTGATCCCGTGGATGAATAATATTATAACATAGGGAAGTTGCGGAATCAGAGATCAGAATGTTCAATTTGCCGGAAAACGCAATTTATGTTTGCGAACTCCGCGAGCAAAATGAAAAAAAAAATATCGTACGAGTCTGTGGTTTCTGGATAAAAGTAAAACCTCCTTATGCTAATATAGAATGATGTACTTATACTGTATAGTCTGTATTAAGTCGAAGTTCACTTTCTACGGGTTTTAAGCAAAAGGGTTACTTTAGGTCACCAATGCTGAATGAAGTAACGTCGTAGGTTACGTGCTTAGCAGTCGTTACAGATATTCAATACTGGCATATTATAATGATAACATGAGACACGCAATGAGCGTCACTACTCACTAGTCACAGAAGCGTTAATTTTAGAAGTAATCTGCAAATTCTGGATAATGGCAAATCATGTTCTTGATAGGAATATATATTTCTTGAAATGGGTCACCCAAAAGAGTTCGCTTATAGACCTAAATTGTCCTTTGGGTCCTTGTTCGAATTTGACGATTTTAAAATTGTATGGTTGGATCAATTTAGTTAAGTAATTCTCTTAGTAAATATTCCTTGAAGCTTGTGCTCATTTTGTGGCGTCAATCAGGGCGGGGAGTTGGAAGCACGGGAATTTGACTTTAAAAACTGTTTGGTCCTAAAATGAGCATGTACTGAGTGTAGTGAACGTCATTAATGTAGGAAGAAATAACAACTAAAATCAACAAAAAAGTTATTGGAATGTCTGGCAAGAAATTGTAAAACTCGTCCTAAAATGACGTTAGAAATTGGCAATGTTTTATGTTTCGCTACATCGCTTCTGGAAAGCATGAGCCAAATTACTCACAAGCCTTTTTTCGGATTACCGAAGTCATCTAAATACCTATGTGAATGGAACAAGACATCAAGTAGGTATATTACCCAATGATAAATATTTTTACATCGACTTTGAGAAAGAGACTGTTCTGTGTGAAATGTCGGTCATTTCACATTTATTCGTATTTTTTTTCTTTTTCAATATCTGTATAATTTTAGGACATTCGAGTATTTGAATAGTTTAACGTCCAGTTTCAATAACCTATCTATCTGTAGATTTGCTTACTAGAGACAGAATTTTGACATGAGCTCCATACAAAAAATGTCACAATTGGATATTATTATATATTTAATGATAGGTTATTGAAACTGGACGTGGCGACTTGGTCGATCTTTTCAAAGGTGATGCGCCATATTAATTGCCGGGTACCTACTGTAAATACGATTTTTAGCCTTTCTATTTAGAGAGATTGTAGTCAAATAATAATGGTAAGTAGCAGTAGTTATAAAGAATTAAATAACATGTTCATAACAAGAAATAGGTACAGTTTACTGTTCACATAAAAAATTGCAAGCAATGTAAACAAAGATATCTGTATCGAATTACGCGTCGTTTTTACGACTCAACTATCATTTGGCATACTGCCTGTATTTAAAACATATGCTTTTAATTTTTAAAATGTTTGCAATAATAAAAGTGCCCATAGTTTTTCGATAAGCCTTTTTTATTTTAATCTCAATTAATGGTTTCCGGTGCTGTGTAATGTATGGTTTAGCAAATTTTTTATTACATATACATGCTCCATTAAATACTACAAACAATTGAATTGCACTTATTTTATTATTTAGAGAACCCTCTCTTGAGAATGTTGAAAACATATCAGTAAGCCTTTATTGATGTGTTTTCTACAGATTTTCATGAAAAGTATATGAATAGGTAACTTAATTCTTGACTTACCATGTCCTATATCTACCCGCATGGTAGTAACTTGGTCATATAGCGCAGCACATATCCAGGTCAGCATGAGCAGCCATAGTAGAAGGGTGCCCCTCACAGCCCAACGCAGAGCACATTGTACCTCAGCTCCAATGTTGTGTTCAAGTGCTGCGGGGGCTGGATTTCTGCTGCGTTCTCGTCTAAAACAAATACAAATAGTATTAGTTAGATGGTCAAATGAACTCTGCTCCATTTTTTTTATAATAACCAAATCTTGTAACTTGTAAAATGATTACTCAATTTATTATTATGATAATCACACCTAAACCTAGACTAATGTAAATTCATAGTTTCTACTAGTACATTGTTATTTAGAGTAAAACTATAAATTCTTTTTGAAACTAAATGGTTTCAATTCAATCATTGCACATCTAAATAAATAATTTAAATAATATCAGATAGATGCATTTTCGGATTTAGTTTCATGTTAATAAAATAATAATTGAGCAATTCAAGTCCGTATTATAAGTATAACAATGTCCAATCGTAAGATAAACATCTAACCAAAGTAAAGGTTAAGTTCTTGTTTCATGAATAACTCCTATTTATTGATATTTATATATACGAACCTTGTGATTTTCTTCTTTCTGCTTGGAATTATTTCTAGCTGCAAGTCTTCAGACTCTTCGTCGCTAGACAAATCCAGGAGGCGGAAGTTTTCCTTGTTGACTTTTGATGGTGCAGACATTTTATACTCCGGCTCATACAACACATACTATTTGTTACTTTTATGTGCGATATGCATCAGATAGATAACCGTACTGTATTTATTTACTTGATAACATAGATTCACGTCAAGGTTAGAAAAGTTTGAAAGTACTGAAGACACGGAAGCTTACCGCTAAACCTAAAGTACGAACACTATTGAAGAGGTAAAGCTAACCTTGGATAGTACAAAATATAATTAAATTTAAGATATGTAACAGTATTGCTTACGAGATTCTTTAGATAAAACTACGTTGTTTAGCAAAAATGCAAAATTATAGAAGTGATGAAAATTGAAAATGTCAAAGTCAAAAAAAGTAATATTTCTCGCATTGCTGTTGTCTATTGAAAAACATTTTTGAATAAGATTAATGTCACTGTCACTTAATAAAAAAAATAAAACGGGATTACTTAAATAAAACTATTCGTTATTATAAGAATAAATTAATTGAGATTTATTAACAACACTTGGAATTGAAAAGCAATTTTTTTTATTCAGGCATTCTATTAATTTTTCCCTGGCAAACAAACATGTTGGGATCTGTCAAACAGCAGTTGTCACTTCACTGCCAGTCAAATTGTCATTGCAATTTTGGTAAATGCAATGGATTGGACACCAATTTTAATTGATTTTGTTAGTTAATTAGAATAGAAAACTAATTATTTCCGTTAGACTGTTACAATCATGAAAGAAAAATGGAATTTTATTTTATATTTAGTATGGTTTGCCTACTTGATTCTATCAGCGGTTCTCATGTTCGGACATGGATTCCTGTTGTCCCGTAAAACACTGAGTGATGTGACTGAATGTGTACCAATTGATAACTTTGGCTGTGATGGACATGAAAATTCTACCGTGAAAGGTTATTGCAATGAAGAAGAGAAAATCCGACGTATATTGGCTGTGCCTGGTGGTCCGCTGGCTTGCGTTCCGAAGCAGTCTAGAGTGGTGTTTTTACTAGTTGACGCACTTCGTTATGATTTTACGGAGTATGATGAGAGTATTGTGAAGCCGTTGCCTTATCAGAATCGGTTGCCAGTGATGCGTGAGATGTTGGATCGCTGGCCGGACAGCACGCGCCTCTACCGGTTCATGGCAGATCCGCCCACTACTACGCTGCAGCGGGTGAAGGCGCTCGCTACAGGCTCACTGCCGACATTTATTGACGCAAGCTCAAATTTTGCAGCCATGGAATTACAGGAAGACAATATCATTGATCAAGTGAGTTAGATGATTAAAAACTGTAACTACTAATTTGTGATAATGAATTAATCTTATCATTGCCCTCAAATGTTATCTTTGGTAATAGGTGACAAAGAATGGAGGGCGGGCTGTATTGCTTGGAGATGATACTTGGTCTCGGCTGCTACCAAAGCGCTGGTTGAGGTCACATGCAATGTACTCATTCCATACTTGGGACCTGGACACTGTTGACAACGGTAAATACTAAAAAATACCTGCTATAATAAGTACCAATATCCTGAATGGCTTATATTGTTTATTATATACTGCTAGAGTTTGTACTCCTTAGTGTCTTCCTCCAAAAGTTACATCTTTTCCTCAAAGATTGTGTGATTTATGGCATAAGCCGGTAAACAAGCAGACAGATCACCTGATGGTAAGCAATCGGCGCCACCCATGGACACCTGGAACATCATAGGTGTTACAAGTGCATTACCGGCGTAAATGGCTGTTATGCTCTAATACAGCTTAATTGGGATGTTATTTTTTAAGATAAAATCTTAATATAATTTCAAAAATCCATACACCACCTCATGCTTGTCTCCTATTGGGGTAGGATTAGGATTCTCACTTACCTCTTTCGCTTCATCAACTGTTGTCTTATTCTTCAAGCTTCAATAATGTATGTTTTCTTGAATCCCCTCTGTTTGCCCATGCAGAAGTTGATGCAAAAATATATGATGAACTGAGAAGAGATGACTGGAACTTGTTAGTGGCTCATTACCTTGGAGTAGATCATGCAGGTCATAGATATGGGCCTAACCACCCTGAGATGACAAGGAAGCTAGATGAGACTAATGCAAGGTTGAAGAAAGTCATCTCCATGTTGCCTCCTGATGTTCTTCTGTTCGTGGTTGGAGACCATGGCATGACAGAAAATGGTGAGTTACATTACAATCTACAGTTTTGGACACTTCTTAATCTTAGCTGTATTTTACATATTTTATCGTATCACTTTGAATTTTAATACATATTAAGAGAATAAAAATCATTTTGTTGTTGAGATTCAGTCATTAATGTAAAGATTAATTTTTTTAAAATACAGTCGAATTGATAACCTCCTCCTTTTTTGAAGTCGGTTGAAAATAGTAAATGTTATTCATAATATTATAAAAAGTATGTATTTAATTAAATCTCATAAAATATCTGTGTATTTATCTATGGGCTCTGTAAGAATGAAGAAAAGTATGAATTAGTTACAAGGTTGAAAAAGATCCATAGGCACATTTATTCTAATGTTATAAATTTTTATTCAAACTATTCACATTGTTTTAGACTCACATGAGTGGACCAACTCAGATGGTAGGTATATTAGTAAGGAGCTTGCATTGTAGCAGATTTGTGTGTTCATTTTACTGTTTTTCTTTAAGCTACGTAATTTGCTATTTTATTTGTGTGAATCTAAAGCATTCTTGTTGGAATTTGTGTCCATAGATAGATTGTAGCTAGAAATTCAATTTTTGATAAATATGTGCTTACTTCTTTTTTCAATTGTTTTATACTGTTTTGGATAATTTGTAACAAATAGTTTTCTAGCTTATTTTTGATATTAACAATGTATATGAGCTGATATTAAGTTTTTATTCAGCCTGATAGGTTTTGCATGGCTATTATTTTCTTTAACATCCCAAAATTGTAAATATAATTATTACTTTTATCAGGTGACCATGGAGGCGAAAGTAAAGCTGAGCGAACAGCGGCGTTCTTTGCTTACCGAGGCGCTGGTTTGGCGGGAACTGGCGTGGATGTGATGATAGGGAAAGAAGTACAGCAGACTGATCTAGCACCTACACTCAATGCGGCGTTAGGAAGACCTCCCCCAGCCCCTTCACTAGGACACCTACTCTTACCTGTTCTACCAGAGGCCACCAAAAGTCATACATTGCTACATATTACCAACAATCTAAAACAGGTGAGTCAGAATAGTGAATGCTGTTTAAGTTATGGCTTTTCTTAAACCAACCTTATTGCAAGGAAATAAAGTCTGTTGCTATGGAAACATGGTTTTTAAGAATACTTTTCTCTTATCATGATTTGCTACATTTGTTTTTTAGAAAATGTTAGAATTTTATCTTATGTGACAAATGCTATGCAGTATGCTTATTACCATATATTCAGCATAATTAAACAAGATAATTCCACTGTCAACAGATAACACAATACATGATTCGCTACGGCGAGGAATCCCAGCAAGTGTCGCTCGACCGGCTCACGCATCTTATCAACGCGACGCGGGAACAATTACACAAAGCCGCCTCCGTTGAAACGGATGACGACCTTAACAATTACGCAGCGGATGTCAGGTAATTTACAAGTTTTGTAAACAAATGAATTTGAATGTTAGCTTAATGTAATAAAGCTTATTTTTGTTTCAGAGCTCTCGTCGACAATGTGCGAAATGTTTTCCGAGAAGTTTGGGTCGAGTTTGATTCCCTGTCTATGCTTAGAGCTCTTCTACTTCTTCTTTTGGCCATATTTTTCAACTGGTTGATTACCGAGGGTATTCCTATGGAACGCCTTCCTAATGTGTTCGCTAGTACGTTTGTCCCGACGGGGCTCATTTCGATGGCTGTTTGCATCGGCGTGTGTTACACAGCATTTTATTTCAAGTTCCTAGAAGATTTAGAACACGCTATTATTTTGAGTACTGGTTTAATATCAGCCAGTATAACTTGCGTTTTAATAATCATGCACTGGGATGGGATTGCGCAGCGGTGGTACGAGGGACGTTCTCAGTTCTATGAACGTTTTGCTCGCGCGGCTCTTGCGGCATCTGCGGCAGTGTTAGTGTCGAACAGTTACATTATAGAAGAAGGCGCTACTCTCGCGTTCTTGTGTATGACTGTGTTGGGTCTGATGGCTTGGAATATTGGCAACGCAACCGCGTTGTTATATTGGATCGCCTGTGGAGTAGCGTTTGCAGCCTCTAGGTCGTATCGCGGTTGCAGAGAAGAACAGGGTGATTGTTGGACGGCTGGGGCGGGCGTGCCGACTGGGCAATCGTCGCGGCCAGCGCTGGTGCTGGGGATGGGGACAGTAGCGGCTGTGGTAGCGATATGCAGGAGACATGTAGGCTGGCGGGGTTATTGTACAGTCGTGGCGGGGTTGCTGGCCTGTTCTCACTGGGCGACGGGTTATGGCTCCCTGGGATCTCCCAGCCGGGCCAAGCTGTTGGCTCGTGCCGCGTGGCTGGTGCTGGCAGTGATGCTGGCGCTGCTGTGGAAGCGCGAGGGTCGCGGCGCCACGCTGCCTCTGATGGCGGGCGGCCTCATGTTGTTTGTCGCCAACACGTTAGTACTCGGCGTGTCGTACGCTCCTGCCGCTGTGATTTCCTTAGTACTGGCATGCTTAGCTCTCAATCTGGTAGCTAGGCTGAAGAGTGAAGGGTCTACGAAGTTTTGTAAGTTTTTTTCTTATACATATAATACTTCGTTTTCGTTCATTTGAAATAATTGTTATATAGGTATCCATAAAATACTTTTTCCTCAGCTTTGGCAACTCGATGCAATTCAAGCGTGGCGTGTATGTGGGCATTACTGGCGTCGTACGCTTTCTACGGCACGGGTCATCACGCGACACTGGGCCACGTGCGATGGGCCCCTGCCTTCCATGCTGGTGACCCGAACTATTTGGACATTGGACCTCCTATTACTGCTTCTTTGGTCTCACTTGAATTATTCGGTAAGTTATTGTTCTAGCATTTCAGTGTTTGTTCCTGGAAAGCTAGTTATGCACAGTTAATTTTAACTGCCGTTCTTAACCAGATTTAGTATTTTATATGATGTAACTGGCAACTGGTCTCCCAAGACACGGAATTTTCCATATTTCAGGTAACTAATGGTAATACTTTTGTGTCTTCTGCAGGTACTATATTTGCATTTGGCGCTGCAGTTCCTCTCCTAGCACTGTGGGGTCAGAATGGAGCGGCCCGAGTAGGGCCTCGCACACAACTAGCCGCCGTATTCTCTCTGTGCCTGAAATTTATGCTATGCTTCGCTATTCGAGTAAGTGTCTTGTGCAAAACTGATTCCTTGTACCACACCATAGTAAAATTAAATATCCAATTTGATGATGTCATAAACTTGTAACTTATATTTATAATAAATTTTATTTTATTTATTATCAGGTATTCGCGTGTGCGATCTCGGCAACGATCCACTGCCGGCACCTGATGATATGGGGCGTGTTCACTCCGAAGTTGTTGTTCGAGGCGGGCGCGTGCGGCGCCGCGCTGCTGGGCGCTGTGCTCGGCGCCACGCTGGTCGCCTGGCACCTACCCACACAACACCGCTCTAGTTGACACAAACGGTTACATTAGCTCGTAATTTTATATGGACTGGATCAATGGGGGCCTCGTTAACTTACATAAATACTTTTATAAATCATAATTATTTGTTTTCAGAGATTTTGTTGACACAAGAAAGGGATTGTATGATACATTCTGTATGCACCCTATTCTTGTATGCACATGAGTATATAATAAAGAAGTTTTCGCAATTAGTACCTGAACAAATATTCTAAATGAGAATATTTAATTGTTGTACTGTTGTACACTTGCCCTAATATGGCGAGTTATTTATAGAATTTATTCACAATATTTTTGTTTTAATACTCATATTGTATTAATTATAAAAGCCAGAACAAAGCAATGAAAATGTATTTATAAACCAACTGTGATTTTGTGACCTAGTGTATGAGATTCTTTTAGATCAATTAAAGGTAATTTAAATGTAATAATGTTCATTAGACTATTTTACAAGTAAGTTTTTTCCTACAAAAGATAAAACCAAATATTTCTTTTAAATTAGGTCATTGTATTAAATTGTTGGTTAATTAGTCAAATCGAGTGCATTTTATTATTAATCTGCCAAATTACTATATATTATGAATGTTGAGATGGTAGAATAGTAGTATAATATATTATTATGGTCAGAGTATATTATCTTGTCCGAGGCCCTCAATCTATTATGCTTGGACAGACTGTTGTATAATAAATATAATTGTATTGTTTCGGTTGAAATTATCGAGATATTATATAATACACGCGAATGTGAAAGACGTTTATAATGTTACATTTTATTGGAATGTTTTACTGTGTGAGTTGTAAAGTTCTTTTACCAAGTTACGGGTTTCATTTTGTGCTTAATGGTTGTATTAATTTAATTGTTTTATACTTATGACGACGTTGTGTCGAAAGCATTTTAATATGATAGATATTTTTAACATGTATTTAAATATAATTTATGGTATTTGAACAATCACTGCCATAGGCTGTTAGTTGTTACTCAAGATAATGTTTAAATTATTGTTATTTCTTTGATTGGAATAGAAATTAACTTAATGTAGATCCAAACAATCAGTATTTGTTCTAGTTGACATACACTAAATTATAGTTATGTATTATAACTTAAATTGCCATATTTGAAGGATAGAGTAGTTATTTACTAGTTAATCCATTGGCATTATGATTTTGGTTTTAAATCAGTATGATTTTTTTTTATATTATAATAATAATAAAGATTTTTAGCACACAACCATATTTTATTTTTAATAAATAATAAAATAAGTATATATTATAACATTTATTTTCTAGAGTAATATGACTTTAACTGTCAATGTGATGAGAATATAGTAACAATAAATACAAATTATATCTTCAAACCCCAGGATTATAGAATTGTGGTCACGTAACTAGCAACAGTATAAATTCAAGCTTGTGACAAATAGCACCTTCACTCACAAAGATAACTTTAATTTAGAAACGAATAATTGAAACTGGATAAAAATTCTTTGCACTGAGATACACACACAGTACCAGGCCGTTAGTGCGCAGATCACGTAGCTGGCGCGGGCGGCTTGTACGGGTTCAACAGGTATTCGGAGAACGCGTTCACAGCAGCGGCGCCCCGGACTTCCTTATCCAGGAGAGGCAGTTTTGTAACATGGAAGTCTTCATACAAGTCTGCAATCTGTTCTAGATATTTCTCTTGAACTTTATGTCTCGCCGCGCACAAGTCGCACGGCGCTGACGTCCGCAGTAACAGCTGGTTGACGATGATATTGTGTGTATCGATACCACACCGCGTCAACTCCTGTACCAGACGCTCAGTCTCATATAGTGACAGAAACTCGGCAATACAGACACACACAAACGTCGTTTGGTTTGGATCCTTGAACTGAGTGTTTACTTGTCTTATAACAGAAAGCATTTCATCCATTTTGTTGCTAAACATGTCTGAATTGAATTCTGCTAAGCCAAACAGTGTTGCTACTTGGTTGATGAATGGGGCAACCTGAAAACAAACAGTAGTTTAAATTCTGACCTTAACACAATTGAATAGTTAAGTCAATGTTGTGTATTTAGATTGGCAATTAATGCTAGTGATGAAACAATGACTAATTATATATTTTTTTTAATTCAAGATGTTCAATAGTACTCTTTTGTTCTTACATGGTCTTTATGGACACAATGAAGTAAATCTCATTGGGTAATAACACTAGTTTAAAAAATTAAGTATTTATTTAACTAACCTTAGACTTCAGTCTCATGAGTTTTCCGAGTCCTCGCTCCACAACTTGTGGGAAAGACAGTAGACGCAGAGTGTGTCCTGTGGGTGCAGTGTCAAACACTACTGCACTGAAGTTCATACCTTTCACCAGTTTCATTACCTACAAACAATGCAGAAACAAATATTTGGTTAGTGTTTACTAGTAGACAAGAGTCTTGGCTCTATCTACACTTATTTTTTTGAAATGTATACTTTTGAATGTCTTAAGGAAAGATTTTTGATTGAGATATAAAATTACAATATTTGTATAGACATATCAGAATTAAGACTTTTAACTATTCAATATAACTTAAATAAAAAACAATAGATTTGAGTCTTATACATATATGCTCATATACTTTAGGATTTTTATATTTTTCCTACCAAACTGTAATTGAATTACCTCTGCATAACTCATAGCCTCATCAATACCAGGGAAGGCACCAACAATTTCTTGCATAACTCCTTTACCCAACCTCATTGCTTCTGTTTCCCCCTCAAAATATTCCTCTGGCAATTCTGTCAGCCCTACATTAGGGTCAATTTCCATTGCAAACAAATTATTGAAGCCTTTTACTTTTGTTGGCACCTGAAAATCAGATATAAGTGTGATAAGTAATTTTCTAGGCTAGAAGACAAAGGAAAATGTTTACAAACAAGTTTATAGTTAATTTTTATTTAATAATTTTGTGGACAGGAGCTCCTGCTTCTGTAAAAATTATTAACTTAGTTTTTTAAAAGCCTACATTGTCAATTAGACTGCTTAGCTTTATGGTATTCTTATTAGAATCCCTTAAACCATGTAGAGATCCTTAAAAAAAATGTAAACAGAATGATTAATGTTGTAAGATATGACGCAATTTCATGTTTTATGAAGTAAAAAGCTATTTCCAGCTAAATAAATTTTCTAATTAGGGAAGATAACCTACCTTCGAGAACTTTTGGTCGAATGCATCAGAAATGTTATGGGCTGGATCAGTAGAGATAATGAGGACAGAGTCTCGAACCTTCGCCAGTTGAACGGCCAAGCTACAGCTAAAATTAACAATTTCTATTAGAATTTTATTAGATCGCACCGATAATAGCATTGCATTGTTAATAAATTCCGTACCTGCATGTTGTTTTACCAACACCGCCTTTCCCTCCTACGAATATCCACCTCAGAGATGTTTGTTCAACAACATTTTTTAATGAAGGTTCTAAGGTTTCGAAATCTTTGTTATCTTCCATTTTTACAGAGTATTTAATTTAACCAAATTATTAAATGAACTCCAAAACTCGGGTCGAAATCGTAAACGTAAATTTTTTTGACGTAACGTGACGTGTGACATGCGCAATTTGGGATGATTCGCTTGAATTGTCACTGTCAATCACATTCAGTGTTATTGTTGGTGAAAAGTATTTTAGGCCTATTGAAGGTTTTTAAATTCTTTATTAAAATCTTAATCAGATTAAAATAGATATATTGAAGTCCAGATAAATATTCAAAACTGCGATCAATAATGTTGTAATAATCGAATAGCAACAGTAACTGCTCATAATAAAATTCGCGATATGGCGATAGAGAGTAGTAAATAGCCAGCAACACTTGTCATGAATGTCAAAACAAAGTGCTGTTTCAGGCGATTGTAAAAATATGATTTCGATTTTCGATGAAAATAAATAATTAATGTATTGTAATGACTGAAATGTGCAAGTTTATAAATGAAAATAATGCTCTATCGTCTTTTCCGCGGTCGTTTAACATTCAAGTTCTATATAGTTTTCACAATATTAGTTGCAGCCTCGATATGTTGTTACTTCTTTCCGCCGATTTATCCAATTTCTCCAGTGACTGTGCCTCCAAACCCTTTGCATCCTCGTTCCTCACGACACTTGTCTAAATTGATGACTGTAGTGTTTCGCCAGTTCGAAGATTTCGAGAATGATATCGCTGACAGCGTGCAATCTTTCGTATCAGCCTTCCCTAACATGCCAGTGGTGGTGGTATGCGAGACCACCCCGTATCCACCATTTCCGTTCTCTGTGACAAACGAGACTCTACGAAATGTTAAAGTTTTATCGTTAGAGTTGAAGCTAAGTGCTTCGCCGCAGGATTTCAATCCTTTGACACAAATATTTACTGAGTATGTGCTGTTCGTACCTGATTCCACGAGAGTGTCGCGTCGTGTGCTGCAGCTGGCGATGGCAGCGGCCATGGCGAGCCCAACACAGGCTGTAGCTATTGGGGTGGGAAATTCTCACTTAGTATGTCAACATGTAAATTGGAACTATGCTGATTGGACACTACGGTACTGTAAAGATGCTTCAGGCAAGGTCTGTGATGCTGTTCATGGCCAGCATGCACTGCTGATTAAAACTGCAGTATTGCAGAAATTACCACAACCATTCTCATTGCCCTTTCCTGAGTCACTATATCTACAAACTGCAGTAAAAAATATTAAGGTGAGTTCGATATAATTTTTAATATATCTATCTTCATATATCACTGTCTTTAAAAAAACATAAATTATAAATTTTACATACAATTTCCAGGTTCAAATATCTGATGGCAAACTAAGCGCTGGCCGAGGAGTGTTGAAGACGCCAGGAGCAAAGCAGAGGGCATCTCGTCACATGAGGGATTACAGGGTGGCTATGTACAAACAGTTGGGAGTGAAAGCAGTTATCAGGGAGGATGGTAGAGTGCAGTGGTTTGGGTGCAAGAGGGAGACACAGGTATTGTTTATAAACAAGTATCTTTCTACTTATGGCTCTCTTTACCCAGCTATTTTAACCATCAATGCAGTCACAGCTGTTTAGAGTACAATAATTGTAAAGTCCAGCCATAGCCTAATTTATATTTCTGTGAATAATATTATTAAACTGTCAAACACCAAGCGGTCACCGGTGACCGCAACCTATTGTTCTATAATTGTGTCTACAAAACCGGTACTCGACGAGTTAATGATTCTTAGTCAAATCAATAAGATAATTTCAATTTAAATCTAATTGTATATATTCTCTTGCCACACAGCGTTGCTACCCATCGGTACAAGGCACACCTTCGTACTTACTATCAGGGCGCAACACGCCGCCATGCTGTCGCCGCAACATGCGACGTGTTGCAGGTCACGTGTTGCGCGCGCTGTTGCAAGCTGGTGCTAGGTGTTGGCTGGAAACAACTTCCCTACTTGGGGCTGTTATAAGGTGCGTATTAACTGGAGTTTTTTAGATTTAATTTATATTTAAATTCCATTCATTGCCATAGGAAGTCAATTTCTATTCCTATTCCTGTCACCGGTGGACAGATATAATTAGATTATTTTAAATTAAGTATCATCCCCTATTGCATGGGACTCATAACAAATAGTGAATAGTGGTTATATTTTACAGTGGTATAATGTGCACCTCTGCCTACCCCTTTGGGAATAAAAGGCGTGTTGTTATGTTATGTAAATTAAATATCACTCTTATTATTTTGAGTTTGAATGTAATAGTTTTTTTTTTCTTCTTTGCCAACCGAGTCTCCAATACGAGAATGTAATAGTCAGTACAATAGTGTGTTAAGATCACACAATTCAAACACAATTCCAAATCAATGTTACAGGGGAGACGTCCTTCCATGGGCAGAATACGTGGAAATCGGAATCCATGCTTCAGACGTGTCTCGCGTATCTTGGCTGCAGCGAGGTGGTGCAGACGCCGACGGCTTCGTTTGGGAGCGTGCGACTAAAGGACATTACTATAGAGTGGCGTTCTCTGCGACTAATCGCGTCTATGTTCTGATACTGCCGTTCACAGCTAGAAATGGTACCATGTGGCCCGCGGACTGGGTGCTGGCTCATCAGAGAGAATTCCCTGAGAGACATTTGCATCCTTTAGCACAGGTATTTTTTTGATTTTGATTTAAAAATTATTCCTGAAGTCTTCACTTGAATGAACTTAATTTTCTTATAATAATTGTGCCCTATAACAGTAAAGTACATCTTGACCAGGAATTTAAAAAGGGGGCACATAACAGATGTATTGTTTCTCCACGTCAAAAGTAATTAACTTTAAAATAGATTTTTTCAAATGCGCAAGCTGATTACCTCTGGTCACCTGCAACTTCAAGGAATTAAATATTCTGTTTGGGTACTTAAATATAAAATACAATTGTATATCCTTCTTGCAGATAACTTTTGCGGGTCGACAAGCACCAGCTCCGAATGACGCTAGAGCTTTCCTGGATCTGAAATTAGGTTCCAACGCAGTGGAGAGGTGCGACAAACTTGGTCCTAAGTTACTTTATCCTTAAGTTAGTCAAACTGCAAACTTGCACAAAACATTGTTCTACTAGTCATTAACACTATACAATAATATAGGGACACAAAAATGTTCATTGTTAAAACTATTATGGCATTTTATCAAATAAGTTGTCTCTTGAACCAAGTAATCTCGTGATCGCGTTTATTGTTATTTATTTTTTAATTGTTTTTGAGTGAGCTGTTCATGTAAATGCAATTACGTGAGTACTAGTCACTAGTTTTAAGGTATCGGTAAATACTTAGCTGTATTTAAGTTAGGAAAGAGATTTTACAATTAATTTTAATCGGCATATTTACTTCTATTTTGTAGGAAATGAGAAATATTAATTATGAACTAGAATGTCTAGAAAGTAATTCGGTTAATATTGAAAGAATACGACCTGTTTCAAATCTTTTAATATATGAAAATGTTGTTTTTGTATATAAATACAGATTAAATATGATCACAACTAAATTGTTACATAAAAAAATATTTTGAGATATCAATAACGTAGATAAGAATAAAAATCTAAGAGATTATTTATAAAAAGAGTATGAAATAAAAGTAAGTAGTAAATAACTACTTATAAAATAAAATTAATTATATAGCATTGTTTCAATTATTTTTAATAATATAATAAAACAAATTTTGGAATTCTTGTCATCGTAGTAGACTTCTCAAAATTATTACAAATTGTGAGCTACCATTCTTTCGATATTATTCTAGTCTCAATCAAAATCTAATGCTCTTTATTTCACAATGGCTTTTAAGGGCCGATATTACGTCAGATACGAAGATAGTACTTATAAGTCATATTGATTTTAGTTTGCACGGCAGCTATGGAGTTGTTTTTATTGCTAAAATGTTTGTATAGCGTTTATGGTACAGCGTATTTTTTTTATTTTATTTATTTATTATGGTTTAGCGTTGAAACTCACCTCTATGTACAGGCCATTAAGAAAAATGGCGTCCATTCAAAATGGCGTTGTTTCGTTTTTGAGAGTTTATCCTAAAGTGCATTTTCAACGTGCCTTTCTTTTTGGGCACTTTTCATTGTATTAGATTAAGTTTAAAATTTAATTTCAAAGCTTTATTAGAATAATTAATACAAATACAAGTAAATATGTGTTTTATTTTAGAAATTATTTATTATAGCTAGAAATACATTTTGTGGGCATTTGCGGTTTCAGTCGTCTTCAAACTTCTCATCGACTACTCCGGTTTGGAATGGCGGGTCGCGGACTAAACTTAGGAGCTTGTCCAGTTTCATTATCTAATAAAAAACAAACAATACAATAAATTAATATCAATACAGCGATGAGTCAGTCGTGATCGTCATTGTGCTTTGATGTCATTCATTGATTTTTGTAACGGCAGATATAAGAAAAAAAATACCTTATTGATAATTCCAACGTAAAATTAGGTAGTAAATAAATAAAATTAATTACCTGTAGTGTCCGTTGGTCAATTCCTTGGGCTTTTTTGGGCGGTTTACACATTACTCTTAAATTCGGCGATAACTTCAGTACGTGACACGTGCCCCTAGAAAGTAAACAAAATAATTATTAAAAATATTGTGAAAATGTCAAATATATCATAAAAAGTGGGAACCAAAAAGTTTCCACCGGATGCCCCCAGAGAGATTTGAACTCTCGACCCCTGGTTTACAAGACCAGTGCTCTAACCCCTGAGCTATGGAGGCTATGAGAATCGAGGCGAAATAGTCGATTACACACTGGAGTAAAAATGTTAGAAAAGGACAACACTACAAATTCTGAGAATCGCTTTTAGATATTCGTTTGATATTAATGTTTTAAATGTTTTTTTAATTAGAATTTTTTGTATGATTAGCTAATAACATGCCTAGCTATAATCTTTATGTCATATCTTTTGATGTAATTCAATGTTAACCATTATTCATATTATTATCAATGCTTGACGCATAATTTTGTTTCATTTTTGTAAGGTCCTAAGTATCCACGCAATGACGTAAAAGATATGGTGGCGCCATCTATGAACTCGAGTCCTGTACCCTTTTGTGGGTGAGGTAACTTTATAGAGACTCAACTACGTGAATAAAGTTCCTTAGATTTGACACAGTTAAGGACAAACGTGTTATAAGGAAAAATATATACAAAGGTTGGTTACTTCGTATCTCCGCAGACGATGACTGGCAGTTTCGAGTTAAAATCAACCCTGGAGAGTTTCTTTGTCTTCTTCGATACTACTGCTTGCACACATATCGGCCTGTATTTGTCCACGTTCAGGTCATAAACGTACACCTGGAGAAATAATAATAGAAATCAATTGTAGAGAGCCTTGAATAATATCCATAAAAAAATATTGTTTATGTATTTCTCGACGGCTTTAATCCCAGGTTAAAAATGATGATAGTGTAGTTAATTTCATAGCGTGATCGTCTTAAATGTTCATTTTAATTGTAGAAATTTGATTTATTAACTACATTTATTAGTTCAATTTTTATCAAGTATCGATTTTGTCAAGGCGTTTACTTAAGTTTAATTTAACCCCTTCAGCCATGCAGGCCAAGGAGATGTCTAGGTACTCAATGTGATAATTGACAGCGACATTTAACGGGTATATGTATCAATCAGATGTAGAAACAGTGAAATAACTCGAAGACATTAACCTACTTGTATAGACATAAATGTATCAGTATCTGTGGAAGCGGATATTGAATTTTTGATATTCAACTTTATGGCGACGGGGTTCAAGGAAACGCTATTTTTAGACACTAAACGCCTCTTCGAAATGCTTAAGTAAGTAGGTAGGTACCTACCGGTTCGTAGTACTTTTCTAATTCGGACTGTATTTTGTTTTTATAGGTAGGTTTACTTTGATTTATTAAAGCTCGGAAAATAGCTTTTTCTTCTTCGAATGATTCGTTGGATTGGACATAGTGATTAATTGAGTACCTACTTTCCTTAATCAGAAGTACCTAAATTATTTCGACTGTTCAATACAATAAAATATGTACCTATTAAAAAACAATCCCACTTTTATTAATTGTTTTTATAACGAACGTAATTTTAGTATTTTCCAGCAATGTGTAATAAATAAGTATGTTGTTTGACACTAAAAAAACGTGACGTCACAATACACAGTCTCGTACAAAATTCATAGAAAACTGTCGTTTTGACAGTTCGAAAAAAGTATTGCATTTGACTATTTGGCAAGATTCTACCCAATTATTGGAGGACTTTCAATAAAGCCTTTTTTATTTCGGAATTCTCAGAAGGTACACCGTACATAAGATAAATATATGTAGACTGAAAATGGGTTCGTTATAGGACAATAGATTAATTCCTACTAATGGTAAGTAATGGGTACTACAGACAATGACGTGAATATAATAACTAGAAACCAAGTTACCATCTCTACAAATAGGTAAACTGGATAGTTATTCCATCATAATATTACCTTTCCATCAGCAGTGCAGGCTGCGAACACGGTGCTGGAGTATGGAGCCCACTTCACATCACCCACTGGAGACCCAAGCTCGAACATGAACAGGGGCTCACTGGTGCAAAGAAAAGAAGAACATATCATAGATTAAAAAAAATAAAAATGAACACATGGGATACGTGCTCGTTTGTTTTTTTTTTTACTTAAAAACTATTTTACTACTAGCTTTCGGGACCCGGGACTTCGTACGCGGAATCTCGTTTTCTTCCGTTTCAATATGATTTTCAGGATTTTTTTTCTTTCATAAGAACCTTTTCCTGACAATAACAAACACAACAAAAAAAAATCAGCCTAATCGGTCCAGCCATTCTCAATTTATGGCGTGATAACGGGAAACGGGTTCCATTTTTATATATTATATAGATAGTAGAGAGGTCGTAATTGCTGTTAATAAGCAAGATATTTCGTCCTGTAAAATAATGCTTTAATACCCGAATATTGAAAGATTCCTCAATTTCAAGTTCTACTTAAATATCGTGCCATCTCTGTCATTTTGGATGGAACAATTGGAACATTTATTTCGACAAAAATAATATCAGATACTTACTCTCTCCCATCCTCCCAAATCTTGACTCTCCAATCACCAGAACATGAGGCGTAGATGCTGTTATTGTAGTTGTTGTAATGTATCCTGTAGACGGGCATGTGATGCCCTTGGATGGAGCGTACGTAGTTCCTGTTGTACTTGAGGGAGCAGGTGTGGATCATACCGTCTTCTGTGCCCACCATGAAGATCTCCGTCCTCTCAGGGTGGAAACAGATACAGCTACCGCAACCTGCACAGTTGTGGATAGCAAGGACTTTATGGACTTACGAATTTAGTTGAAGAGAATTGGACAACTATCTGCGTTCTGGTCCAGCAAATGCACAGTAGGGTACGATTAAAAAAAAACAATTACTTATTGGTCGACAATAGATAGAAGACAATATCGAAATGAATGCATAAGATGGTCGAAAACTGCTTCAAGAATGTAAACGAAGACTTTAGAGAGAGAGAAGCTTACTGTTAACAGTGAGCATGGTCCCGTCGGGTCCCGGTATTGGTGGTACGTTGGAGGTCAGCGTGATGATGGTTGTGGCCTGGAGCTCTCCCGGCATCACTGCCCATTGCACCACGCGTCCGTCACCAGATATAGAAAAGAATGAGGGCTCTCCATCGATCAGGCGTGGTCCCCAGCGAATCTTTGGGTTAGTAGGTGAGGCTTATGTTAGAAGGTGTTAAATGTGAAAACAATAGATGAGGATTGAACAATTTAAGTAAAACGGTAGCCACTGATTGTCGTTAGTTCATAATAGGTAAGTCTTATTAGTAGACCGATTATTTTAGGATTAAGAAGCAAATGTAGTAATTACTCCGCCGTGCATGTACAAATTATAAATCGAAATTGAAATATTACCCATTCTATATTAATACCTGTAGGTATTGAACTTGAAAAGGAGCAGACTATAAATTACTAGTACATAAATACAACTCACGTAACCACAAAAATAAAGCGTTCCCAAATAACTTAAAATAAAAACTATTTTAACTAACTGTTATGTTATTTGTTGTTATGTTAAGAAAATTCAACCAAAAACATTCTGTAAAAAACTAGCCAACCCTCGATGGAGCCGCTTGTCTATCTCTAAAACGTAATCAAATCTAGACAAAGTCGTGTCAAGTCTTAGATTCCTTACTGCAATTTCTTTATTATTACAATTAATATTGGGTGACTTGGTCGTTGAAGGATACTCAAGGGTGCAAAACTAGGTGCAAGAAACCATTGCACATTTGCACCAATCTGTCGCCAGAACCTCTGGTTATTCAATCTATTTTTTCCTAGTGGCATTTTGCCACCCTTGGGTAGCGGTGTCCCCAGATAAAGTTTATCTATTGTTTATATTTCTAATGCCCAGTTTAGATATTTGGAGTTATTGTGCAAAAATAAAACAATCGTGAATGGAATTTTTTGCTGAATGGAAATACTATTTGGCACTTACCTCCCACACTATGTTGCTGTGTTTATCCCGCACTGAGTTAGATTTGTATTGATAAGAGGACTCTAGTGATAACTGAGCATTGTATACGCACACGTTGCCATCGTACAATCCTGGGGCAGACAGAATCAAAGATGAAAAAAGATTAGGAAAAGAGAAAAATAAAACTAAAGATTGAAGGGTACCATGATGATTAGGTCCATCTACTGTCGAGCTAGACCCTAGATAAGATTCATTCAATAATGGAGATTTGTAGAAAAATATACATAAAGCACTGAGTTTGCAAAAGTGGAGGAAAACCGGGAAACATTTAGTAACAAAACCTGAAGAAAATCAGTGACTCATTCGATAACATTATCGATTAACAACGTTTATACAATCGATTAAAATACGATTACTGACGTTTAGAAGCAAAACCGTACGATTTAAATTATAAATAAAAAAGTATTTGTAGCTGACATGATGTTCTTTAAATATCACTTTACCAAAGTATTAGAGGCTATTCTTGGTCTAATGTGCGGTGAATCAGAGTCTAAACAGTTAGCTATTGATAATTACGCACGTAATCTTGTAAATAAACCGATAGTTTTATGGGCCTTATGGACGTTACACCGTAATGAAATTATATAGAATGATTTATGAAACTATGGAATTTTGTACGTATGCTTCATAACTATCTGTTACGCAAATGAAATCTGTCTATAACCCTGTTTTTATTTCAATGGCCTGCCATCTCGTGCGCTTTTTGAGGGTTTGCAAAAAAGAAGACCTGTTTTTAAAGGCCACTAGGTAAAATATTGATTTAGGTATGTACCTACTTATTTTATTTTAGAATCACTAATTTATTCTCAAAACCGAAAAAGGTAACGAGGAAACAATTTGTCCAAAATATGACTATTTTTAAACAATAATTTAAAGATAAGCGGTTGCCAACCGAACTGACACATACCAACACAGATAAGGTAGGGTATTTCCTTGTAAACATCAAGGCAGATGACAGGCGACTCTGTGATCACTGCATACTCCGGGTATGCTGGGTTCTTGATGCTGTACAGGCAGAGGCAACCCACCTTCTGTTGTAATGTGAAGTCCACTGTAACAAATAATGAACATATGATAATACACGCACGTAGATCAAATGGGTGTACGAGTATGCCCCTTGTACAGGGTTCGGTATATTTCGCAATATAATGTCAATAGAACCATTGGGTATTACTAATACCCTAAATTAAGCGAAGTTAAATATAAACGAAGGAGGATTGACTACCCATTACATATACATGGATATTCATCCTCCTTCGTTTTTGTCTTGCATTTATCTCGCTTTGTCTACGGACTCTTAAAGTTCATGAAAGTTATTTCAGTCAAGATGGTATAGGAATGCTTAAAAAAACACATTCACGTGTCGAATTTATCGTGCCGTTGCAAAATGATATCCAAATAAGAGGAGACAACCACTAATTGTTAAGGAGGTCCGCTAGACTAGAGCAATCAGATTTTAACTCGTCGAGTACCGGTTTTGTAGACACAATTATAGAACGATTAGTTGCGGTCACCGGTGACCGCTTGGTGTTTGACAGTTTAAGATGCAAAAAGTCTCTACGAATTCTTTTCCTGTAAAAATCCCACGATCTACTTAAAGAGTCACTATATAGGAGATTACTCCTGGGTCACTTCTATCCTCTAAGCCTGTAATGCTAGTATTAGTACCCTCACTTTTCTAACACTACACTCAATTAGATGATTACCCTTTCGGCAAGCGGTTACGTTCAATTGAGGAAAATGTACGAACCTCCATCTTGTCTCGCCCGTATTACAAATCGCCCTTGATGTGCCTTGGGAACATTTTGGGGAGCCAAACGATGATAGTTAGGGTAGATATGGTGCGTGTAATAAAGGGAATGAAGTATGCAATCTTTGCGATGAATGTGTGCTGAGAGTGACGGGTTGGAACGTTTTGGAGGTATTTAAAAAAGTGATGTACGTTTTGGACGTCTTCAGGTTTTATTTTATTATACAGCATGCCTTTAGGTAGACGGTTATGCCTACAGATGATTTGTAATATTAAGCTTGCAAAAACCACAAGGGATTAATTAGATGGACTTCCTTTTGTACCGAAATTAAAATATCCACAAATACACTTGTTTATTGTTATTTACATATGTGATGAGTTCAACGATGAGTCGATGAGTCATAAAATCAGTTCAACAAAAATTACGTAAACAAATGAGCCACTAAATATAGCTGTTTATAAAATTGTGTAACAACTAACACTTGACCCGAGGTCGTGTCAGATCGGCTATCTTCGGCAAACTTCGGTTCTTAAGTGCCATTGTTGCTACATGGCGATACTCAATGGACTCGAGTGTCGGTATTCAGCACCTATTGACTAACCGTTGTCATCCCAATTGCTTCCTATTCAGATTGTGACTTCAAACTGTTTTGGGACGCTGAATGAGATAAATGGGATCAACTTGATTTATATGGGTGAATGAATGGATCTGCTGGTGTGATCGGATGGAAGAATGAAAGTATTGTTCGTTACCGAAGTAAGATTAGATTCAATTCATAGAAAAAATCTCTTATTGACGTCAATGGCGTACGATTTCCTACAAATTTTCTCCGTATAGTTACTGAAACTAGCTGCCAATAGCATTATTTTCAGTTACCGCTATTTCCAAGAATTGTGGAGATTCGCACATCTTCGAAATGTCAGTTTACAAATCTGAAATGTTTGTATTAGACTTACACGATCCATAAGCGACTGCGAACAGATCTTGATAGTGTGGGTTCCACTGCACATCACAGACGGCGTGGCTCCGCATAGGATCAAATTGGAACTTCCATAGAGGCAGCAACGAGCCCATACCTTCACGGAACTCGTCTGATGGATCATCCCAGTAACGATAATCTTGGGCTGTAAGAAGATTTTTTATCAAAACGCAAGTTTTTTTGGACGTTATAAAAGTAGATTATACCTACCTACTGCTATTAGCTTAAAATTTTAGAGAAGATTGTCTCAAACAAATACCTAAGTATTGACTAATAAAATTAAGAAATGCATTAGTGACGCGCCAATTGCGTCCAATGAACAAAAAAATACTGACAATACGTATTTGAAGTTGAAAGCGCTTATAGAGTGAAGAAATATAAAAAATATATCTAGGGAGTGGATAATACCAATGTCATCGTAAATGTTCTGGTTGACGAGCCTCTCAAGGATAGCCCAGGCTTCTCGGATCCTTTGCGCCAATCGCTCATCATGGATCTGCTGCTCCGACTTCACGTGTTTGGTTTTCTTCTTTCGTAGCTGCATTAGAAATCAACAATATGATTAATAACCTTTTATAGTAAACTGATAGACCGATATTGTTATTAATTGAATGTTATAAAATTATCAAACAGTTAATATTTATAAGTAAGTAAGCAGTCTCATGTGAATAGCCTAATCTAGATTAGGCTTAGATAGATAAAAGTCTTATATGCCCTATTGTTTCGAGGTATTTGCAGCATAAGGTTTTAAAAAACCACAAGTGCGGAACGAATCTATGGTAGCTTCCTGATTTCTATTAAATACCTATAAACCATTATTAACTACATTAACTTGCAAGATAAATAGGCCATTCTAGTGAATTTGCTTCCAAGATAAATATTTATCAGCCTAGATAATTATTTCGTGACAAAAACGAGATAATATGACATTCAAATCTGACAGCCGACTCCATTTTTTAGGTTATAAAACCGCCAAAAATGTCAAAAACAACGAATTCTTTTTGTGCTATTCAAATAATTGCTCTGCATGTTGTACTGGTCTGTTCAACATTAAACACAGATAAAATATGAAACAAACAAACACATTAACATGTAGACGTTACACTAATATTTATTTTAAATGTATTATTATTGATATTACGTTAGTAGTTGTGAATGGAAAAGTACTTGCTATTTCTATTTTCTATATTACTTACTTAAATGGAACACTATTTTATCGGGCATTCAGCTAAATCTAACTAAATGAGAACTCTAAAACGTTTAAAATTCGATAGGATGTGTTAATTTCCAAACCAATACAATGTAGTTCGTGATTTATTAATATGACATTTAATAGCACGTGCGATAACATCTCTTATGAATTACCTTGTAAAAATTTCTATAAAATCTTCAACTCTCTTGTCTATTTTTGTGATTATAACAACTATCATAATATGAAACGTAGGTATGTAATTGTTATACAGAATTAATTTGAATGTGTTTTCATCATAATTTACCCTTTTAGGCTTTTCTTCTTCCTTTTCTTTCATTTTCCTGGCATAATCTTCTTGATAGTAGTCGAATATAATGCATTGGAGCGCTGTAGCCCCGAAGTTGGCTCTGGGCGGCGGGATTGTTTGGGTCTCCACAGACTATAAACATATTAAACATTCAGATTACGAGATGTTCTGAAGTATTTGTGGACAAGCGTGCGTGGCGGCCGCCCGTCTAGTTACAACCGCCATTCCCGAATAGAACTAGTGTCGGGATAACGTTTAGGAAAAAATAAAAATAAATGGACTTTTGTTCGTAAAGTGTAAATGTTGAATGTGTTACAACTATAATGAAGATATTTTGACTGAACTGTGAGTAAAAACTAGTCTTAAAATGTTTGTTATCGAAAATATTTTGGTGAATGTTTTTTTTTATTTGCGTAGCGTAGGTAGCACTATCTACGTCGTGGATGTTATAAATACGCAGAGTGCATGTCGGTCGATACGTTTCATTTGAGATTAAACGTATATTGTTGTGTTGATGAAAATGATATTAAAAGATAGCGGTATATGAACGGTGTAAAGTAAATTAGAAATATATAATTACTTTTCTCTGTAAGTGGCGTGGAAACAGAAATATAATATTGTTAGTGAGTAGGTATTAGCAGTTTTGTAATTCTTAAGTTCCTGAATTCATGGAACGATTAGGTAGATATAGTAATTTGTAAAGTAAAAAAATGTAACTACATAATTAAAAAAATAATTCTTATAGTAATATAGTTCAAGTAGGTAAAAGTTTTGGTTTAAAAATCTACATTTTCATGAATAGAAAAAGAAATTTTATTAAAAGTTCTGATACTTGAATACATTTTTTTAATAAGTCTTAAATTCGCCGTCACCAGGAAATTGCGGTGGTTGAATCTTGTTTAGGTAATTCATTTAATTGATAAGTACCTACGTTATGCCAGATACCTACCTACGAAGGCGAAATGTATGCAAAATAGATATTAACTCGTCGAGTACCGGTTTTGCAGACACAATTATAGAACAATAGGTTGCGGTCACCGGTGACCGCTTGGTATTTGACAGTTTAAAACAACATTAATTTTTAGAAGTTACAACTTCTGTGGGGATTTTGGCAAGCCCCGTGGCTGTGTTTAGTAGCGAATTTTCTCCGATCGAGTCCTTGAAAATATATACTTACCTACCTGTAATTTTTTTTAAGTAAAAATCAATAGGTATTTGCTTCCTCCCACCCCGAATGAGGCAAGGGGGAATGTCAGACTGTTACTGACTATATACCGATTTCTATTAGTAGCAGTATCTAGTTTCTATTCCTGCTCCGAGTCGGAGCCCCGTTAAACCTATGGTCCTCCACAATTCCGGTTGCACTTGTAGTGGTATCAGACCACTACAAATGGGGCTGTACCTTGCTTCTTTAATTACGCAATAGCATCTTACAAACTAAAAACTCAGAAAAACCACATGACAAAGCCAGGAAAGTAAAGATATCGTATTGTCAAAGTAGGAAATTTGATTGGTACAACAGTTGCGTCACAATATTGAACAAACGGTTAATACTTTGTAAACAAACCTCGGCCTACATTAGGAATATCCTGTACCAACTGACTGATAAACAAAATTATTATTACATAAGTATCTAATAGAATAAGGTATGAGTATTTTATTCAATATCCTCAACTGAGGATCATAAAAAAACAAACGAAGCTCGCGTTTTTTTGCAAGAAGCACTGTTTGAAACAGAGTTCCATTCCTCTAATTGCTGAAGATCATCATCAATTGGCTATTTTCCACTATTCAATGAGAGCCAGCACTAATATGGTATTTTACAATTAATCAAATTCAATACTTTTATCGAAAAGTCAATAAACGATATTGTTCTATGAATTTTGTACCAAACACTAATACATGATGTCATCATATTTTTGAGTCAAATAGCACACTTATTTCTAAAATAATTGCTAGAATAAATCGAAAATTAAGTATATCGTCAAATATATGAATGAAATTGAAATTATTTTTGAATATTAAATTGGATTGAAAAATCAAAAAAATTTCTTTTTGACCCAGGAAAATACCCATTTGATAACATTAATACTAGATATATCGAGAAAAACTGTTTCATGCTTAAAAACTATGTTTATATTAAAAATTCTTTCCTTTGTATATGAGCCTCTAGCATGGCTTGAAACTAGTTGAGTTCCTCGTCAAACAGTTACGTGAGGATGCCGAAAACATAATAATTAAATGCTTAGAAACTGTTTAATTATAAGTCAAAATGCTTTGTTACTTTATGAAGTAACTATGGTTAGAGGACCGTTCAGTTCAGTTCAGTTATTGTCATAAATAAAATAACATGATAAACATTTATACACACATACACACAAATATGTGGATAGAAAGAAAATCTAGAAAACTGTGTTATGTATTTTCAATGTTAAAATCTTTTACAATAAAAATATATGTATAATACATCTTATACAATACCATTATACAAAGCGGGAGAGTTTGTTTTTTGTTTGTTTGTTTGAACGCGCTAATCTCCGTAACTACAAGTCTGATTTGAATAATTATTTTTGTGTTGGATAGCGCATTTATCGAGGATGGCTATTGGCTATAAAACATCATACTACGACCAATAGGAGCTGAGCAGAGCACGTGAAACCGCGCGGAAGTAGCTAGTAACATATAAAATCCGGTTTATAACTGGTACAATATTTATACTTATATTAAACAAACAAACCTTAGTTTGCTTATTTGTTTTAGTTCTTAAGCTTAAACAAGTTCAATTGAAATATACCTACAGCTCCGGATTACTCATGTAAACTACTTAATAGAGGAAATCCCTATTCTTTTCAAGTCATACCGGGACTCATATTTCATGAACAGATTGCGCGGTGCGGTTACATCACGCCTTGCATTCAACACTCACATAATTTAGCACGTCTCTATAATACGGCTATAGCGGCCGATGAGCTGATGGATCACCTGATGGTAAATAATCACTGCTGTCCATAGACGTCGCCAACACCAGACCAGAGGCTAATAAGGCGCAACACAAGTGCGTAGCCGGCCCTAACAGGATTCAGGGATTAGAGGATCGGGCCTCGTACCGTAATCTTACCCACACAGTGAAATCCAAGCATGCATTATTTTACGCCATTTTTGATATATTGCTCTCTTACATACAAGTATGTCTCCCGACTCACGATAGTTCTTTATTAGGTACACAAAAATAAAGGTAAATATTTACCCGTCTAGGGTAGGTGTATGTGAGAGCCGCTCTCTCACAGAAGTTGAACTGATTGGCCAGCTTCTTCACTCGAGGCTTAATGTCGAGATATTCCTCTTGCACCATTTGATCTTCTTGTCCCGCTTCCTCTGTAAATACATACATTTATTACAAAACTATATAAACCTTCGAAATGTAGTGCTGGAGACGTATGCTCCGTATTCCCTGGACCTCTCGTCGCACCAACGTCTCCATTCTCAAGGAGATCGGAATTACTACGAGGCTGTCCACCGTATGCCTGCAGCGAATATTAACGTATTTTGGCCACATTGCGCGTAGAGACCCCAACAATCTGGAGAAGCTTGTGGTTGTTGGTCGGGTTAACGGGAAAAGACCTCATGGTCGCTCACCTACCCGGTGGTTGGATGCTGTAAAAACCCTAACCGGCCTGACAGTTCCACAAGCCATAAAGACCGCAGAGGACGTTTGGAGGAGGGTTGTGCATCAAGTGACGCGTGCATCAGACTAGACACGACCTTCAGTAATGAAGAAGACGACTAGGAAGATATAAACTTTGATGAATCAAATCAAGTAAGAATTTTCGTACATAGATTATGTCTTAAGACTTTTAGTTGTCTATAGGTCGCATCTTAGCTGTTACACGGATTTTATAATAACTATCGTGAGACATACTAAATTAACTAGAAATCACGGGTTACTAACGTGAAAATATCAAGAAAAGCTCTACTAGATTTAGTAGTAGGCGACCGCGCACGCTGTTCATGAGGAAGAACCCCTCTGTGGTTGGAAACTAGTAGAGCTTCCGGTATTTTTACGTGAGTAACTCGCGATTTTTGGTACACGGTTGTTACAAACTATAGTTTTATCTTGTTCTATTTACCACAACACTAAATTCTGGCATTTTTCATATTAACAGCACGGTCGTACCCGCATTAAAGTATCAACATAACATACTCTTATATTATATTAGTACGCATAACGTCGGCAACACATAAAAAACCAGGTACAATGTTTAAAAAAAGTCAAAGAATCATACTCGAATATGCGCGGGTGTGACTTTCTCGAAATAGTTTATGCGATCATTCAGATTGTGTCGTCATAAAATCAACTATGTAATAACGCCTTTCAATGGACGAACATTTCTTTTATATGCTCAATATTTTACAAGGTTGTGACACAATGCAAATAATAAAAGTCATATAGTCAAGTAACATGTAACACCCTTCTTACGGCTTGAGAGATTCAGACTGTCAAGAATCTTGTTTCTTTTTTCTTTTTTTAAAAAACATACACACTAGGATTTTCTCCTGTGTCGTGGGTGCGTTAACAAACATACAAATTCACATACACGTGCCACCCAGGCCCGGAACAACAATTTGTGGATCACATGAAGAGTGGATTACGGACATATAGTGACCAGATTGGCGATATATTAAAGAAGGGCCAAATTAAAAGTACCCTTAACCGACGAGCATGCATGAAAAGATTGATGACTGTTAATGAAGTGAAAGAGGTATGTAAGAATCGTAGTAATTGGCGTTCCTTAGTCTCTGCCTACCCCCATGGGAGACAGGCGTGAAGTTATGTATGTATGTATGTATGTATGTATGAAGAGTGGCTCCTATGTATATTTTCTTTTTTCAAGTTTATATAAATGTATCTCTATTTCTGAGAACACTGGTGGGACGAACTCAGTCAGAAGGGTGGCGATATAGTTAAACTGTTCCGTGGCTGAATAGAGAACATTCGTCGCTAACTTTCATTTGACCTTTATCACGGCCTTTGGAATAATTTTGGAATAATCATATCCACATTCATTGGCCATATGACCAGTTCTACGCTGGTTCGTGAAAGAGCGGTCATCAAATAAAATCCTATAATGCTATGCTTTTCTTTTTTTTTAAGGGGGGAAAATCATCGAATGCCTACTCCCACCTGGGTGAGGCGGGAGGGAGTTTTAGACTCTTACTGACTAAAAACCACGCCGTTCCTTCTCCTGCGCGTCGAGCCGGAGCCCCGGTTACCCGTTAGGTTCTCCGCGACAATAATGCTACGCTTAAGACACGTTCCAAAACAACGCATAACAATAGATAACCTATTTAATAATATTCAAGAACGAGCTCTTACGATGTTATAAGAACATTAAATAGAATAATCACACCACGTTAAAAACACGCAGACCTAAACTGTCAGTAGCTAAACTTTCTAAATGAATATCTTACTCAAATGTAGATAATTTCGTTACTAAAATACTTTTACGTAATATATTCATATGTATACAGACAGTAACAAACTTGTCTTGGATATCCCAAATGTTTGGATAAGTTTCAAAGCTAGAGTTTAGCTTCGGGTTGTTACTAGATTACAACCAGTTTATTGCTCCACAATCTCTATACATAATTTGCTTACTGTGGTTTGCCTACTGTAGGGTTAACTAAATCGAGCAAATTACTAATTGGTTTAATTTGGGTTATTCGATTTTAGGAATTCGTATTATGAAATAGAGTTTATGATGTTGCCCTGCCCTAAATAACAAGATAAATACAATTATTTTTAACCTAACTAAAATTATCAGGACAGTCACCATTAGCACATAAGTTTCTATGAATAAGCTTGAGGACCTGTAGACTACTTTAGAGTAACCCCAAACTTCCTTGTTTTTAAAAAAATATTTTTGTTAAGTTAATTCTATGGAATATTATCAAACGACTCACTCTCTTCAGTTTCCTGTCCCTCTTCAGCAGCGACTGCTTCTTCCTCTGCTTTAGGCTCCTCTGCCGCCGCTTCTGCTGGTTTCTCCTCCGGTGCCTCATCAGGGGCTGCAGCCTTTTCTTCTTCCTGGACTTGATCCTCTGTTACAAAAACAATATCATTGTCGACTTTATCTCTGGATTAGCTTTAATTGCTAAAATTAGACATTTTTGTTTGTTTTTGTAAGATTTTTTGATAAAATGTTTTGCATGTCTAGTATAGCGAATCAGTCTGGATTTATACTAGAAAGTAATGATTAATAAAGTGAAATCCAAAAATTAGACACGCAACTAATAACATTCAGTTGAAAGGGAAAGAAAACGGTGATTGTAATCTAACAGAGTTTAAATAACGTGTTAGGTAACAATGCTACCGCAAATTGCGAATGTTACACATTTTTCAGCCAGCATTTTGTAAAGATAACAATCGAATCGTGCAAAAATAAAATCAACACTGTTTGTACGAATAAATGCCAGTGTTCTATAGAGTTCCTCGCGATGGCTGTGTTGAATCGATTTTGGAATCGCTATAAATATTCGCTATTTCAATGGATTATCGTGTCGAATGTCAACAGGAGGTTACAAGGGTAACCCAAAGCGGCTCACAATGGCTTATCATGAGGAGATCGTTGCGTACATTTGTGTTGTGAATAGTAACGCGTATTATTAAACTGCCTTGTGCTTAAGGTTAAGATGTTCGATTCTTTATTGTTTTGCTAAAGAAAGCTTGGTTTCCGGTGAAATCCAGGGCTTCAACCGTAGCGTCTATAAATTTTGTTTGTTTTTTGTCTTTATCATTCTTTATTCATTTTTGATAATCCAAAATCTAATGATTGTGATCACAATTAGTATCTTAGCGAGATGTGATTTAATTTTGGTGCCTCAGTATTTTTTTCTTATACTTTATAGATGTTTGGCCACCATCTCGCCTGATGGTAAGCGATGATGTGGCCGACGATGGAGCACCTACCTGTTCACTCGGTACTTGAAGACTGGGTGTCTTCAAGTACCGAGTGAACAGGAACAGTCATATTTGATGGGAAACACAGACTCTGGCAAGGAATTCTATTCCTTAGCGGTTCGACTGAGGAAGCTTGACGCGAAACGCTTCGTGCGAATGGGTGGAATGTCCACCATATAAGGGTGGCGCCCCACCGTTCGTCTGGTGGGGCGGTGGTGAAATGGACTAGGGGGAATAAGTTTGTTTGTTGAAATATATCCGATAGAATACCGAAAGGCTTGCGTCTTTGTGCCTGTGTTCGAGGCTTTGTAGCCGAGCTTCCACAAGCGAATCGTCACTGGTAAGCCTCTTGGCACGCCTCTCGATGGATTCGAGGGCTTCTAACTGGTATTTAGCCGAGCCATCCCAAAGATGGGAGCAGTACTCCGCACACGACCGAACTTGTGTTTGGTAAAGGGTGAGCAACTGCTCCGGCGCGAAGTACCGTCTCACCCTCGACAGGACATCGTATTTTATTTGGACCGGCTGTTGTCGCTATTGAAAGGGTTTTTCAGTCTCCCGGGTTTCTCTGGTTACAAATCTGTTCGGATCAATGGACCAATGCAATCAATTTTGATTAGTTTCCGTTGGTGATGTGAATGAATAGGTACTTTAAGTTAAAGCTAGTTCACGCTACGCTGTATAAGTCTCGGTGATAAGTTATAAATAAATATTGTAGTTGAATATGAGAGTCAGTATATGAGATACAAACGAAAACCAATAAAATACCAATGAAGAAAAAGATACAACTTTTAACCACCACTGCGAGGTGAAAATTTTGTGGTGACTCAGAAGCTGAGCACAGGAGTTATGTTTTGATACTTAATGCGCAAAAATGTGTTTTGAAACGTAGTTAGCACGTAATTTATTTTTCAACGTCTGTTATTTTAACTACATAAACATTACGATGAGTTTAAAACGTACACCATCATTACGGGCAGACGTGCTCCATCATAGACCGCATCGCCAACATCAGGTGAGATAGTGGCCAATCCTTGGCCCATCGAATAAATATAAAAACAATACTTTTACATTTACCTATGTCTTCATAACCGTCATTGTGTTGATCATATATATGTAATCAAACGGGATTTTTTGATCGATTGTCATTGATACATTTACAATATTTTTTATGGCCATTCTATTGATCAAATTTTGTTGTCTCTTCTATTTTTATTCGTTATTCTTTTTAGGTACAATTAAGGTAAATGATTTTACGTGGAATTCTTGCCTTAGTACAGTTTACTTTACCATCTCCTTTAGCTTCTTCTGTAGTAACCGGTTCTTGTTCTGGTTCCTCTTCCTCCTCTTCTTCGGTTTTCGTCTTCTTGACTTTCACTCTTTTCGGTCCAGCGTCATCAAAACTGACCATACCTAAAACATAACAGTATTTTTACAATGTTCTGAGATACTTTCTAAAACTGCGATAAGAGATGAAGGGGCAGCAGCGACTTGAGCTGTTCCCAAACTTCAATTATCACAAATCGCTGACCAAATGTAGGAATTATGCTGTTTTCTTGCCAATTATCCATTTCAGTCTGCCTAGAAGTCTAGACCACGGACAATTTTCTTCTCCAATAAGTAATATTAAGTAATAATTATTAATAATATTATAACAATCAGTCTAGTTTATATGAAACCAAATCAACTATATAAGTCTTACCATATCCAGCAGCAATCTGAGCTTTGGCCTCATCAGAATCCTTCCGTATAGCCGTACCCTGATGAACGTACAACGGGTACGCCTTCCCATACGTCGGTTTCGGTTTAACCATAAATTTGCCTTTCCCATAGTGGTACGCCACTTCATCAGCGACCCATTGAGGGTTGATCGTGGTCAGAATGCGACCTACTTCTTCTTCCAAATCCTAGATGAAGAAATTGTGATAAAATATACGTTGTTACAATAAGTTCTTGCATATTTTGTATGATGAAAATCAATGCCTTGCAATATTAGATTTTGTTAACAGCACCCTTATTTTGAAATTAGAATATTTTTTCTAATTTATTATTGTTACAAATGTATCTACCATATTTATTTATGATAAGAACTTTTTGAAATGAAATTAAATATTAACACCAAAACTAATTGATTCTTCTTGAGACTTCCTATTCAAAAAGAGAATTTTATTTGAGGATCATATAACAAAGACTTGTATTATTTCCAGAGATATCTAAATATTTACAAATGAAAGCATTACGTACTGAAAAATGTTACCCTAATTATTTTAACATTGATGTTAACGTCAGTACACGAGTCAATCAACGAATTTTTACATTGTAAAAGTACACCAGACAAACGCAGGTCATCTCAATTGAGTTTCAATTGTTCACAATAGAAAGCTTCAATTGTTTTGAATTTGTTTAGATATTGACTACCTATATATTCATAACTCACTGTACGCATGCGCAAAATTGATACTGATCTTTGTTCTTTACTCTCATGTTTGATATCAGAAGTTCTATCAGTAATCAGTATGTAAGTAAGAATAATGTCTTACAGCTTCGGGCACTTCTTCCTGGTCATCAGGCTTGATGAGAGTCCGCGGTTTGAGCCAGTCTAGGGCGTCATCTTCAGCTAGGTTCCCGCGAGACTTGTTGGTAGCATCCTTCTGCTGGATAACACCAAACAATATTATCATACTAACAAACTACATGTCACACTTGAACATGATGCCGTTACGTACATCCAAGCACTGCAAAGTTTTGTTAATAAGCACTTTCTCCTCATTTATATTAAGAGCGCGTTTTATCATAGCCTTCAACATTTTTACTTAATTTTTCTCTTTTACTCCAGAAATAAAGAAATACGCAAGCACGCAAGCGATGTCTGACAGCAAATGAAACACTGCTTAGTTTTCTAAACGTTTGAGAACTCAGAGCGGATTTACGAGTAAATATTCTAGAGACATTTGCATATTGTTTGATAGGTCTTTATTGGGGACGATCATGTAATTCGACTATAAATAATTCGAGGCACTTTTAGTTAAGCGAAGCAAGCGTAAACAAACGATTAAACCGTTGCGTGCCCCAAGCATGCTGGATCGTATCTTTATTCACAATTAAGCTCCCGGTTTATGGTCCACGCAAAAGTTTTGCGTTGATTGTACTTACGTCAGCGTCATCGTCCGATTTTGAAGACACGTGTGATGGTATGGAGTCGTTAGATGTGGGTTTTATTTCAGGTTCATCAGACATTGGCTTTTCTAATAAAATTTACGGTATGGCCTTTAGCTGTAGAAGCGCCAATAAATACTGCAGTGTCTTATAACTAGTAGTTCTCACCCAGAAACAAAATGAACTTTGACCGACGAGTGAACTAAACTGCATTAGTATTCACAGTCGCTAATGTACCTAGTACTAGGTAACTACCAACGCCGTGAAATATATAAAAATATGATTTTATTGTTTCTCTCTCTACATAATTTAACACGCGAACTGCAAGCTTATTTTCAAAAATATTATATTGATGTTCTTTCGTGTAATAATAATCTGTAACTTTATCAAATAAGAAATTGTAGCAGTGTAAAGAATTGACTGAGCATGACACTCGTAAAGCTCGTAGAAGACGTTGTATTTTTAGCAGCGGTCATTGCCGATTTGGCGACTTTCTACGTTCGAGAGCTGCGTCGTGATCATGTTTTACTGACTGCACTGAAACTACGACGTAGCAAAACTTTTGTCTGTTCAGTTTAAAAAGAAGCTATCATTAATAACCCTGCTAAAGTAATGCAGGCCATTTTTGGGATGGGTATACCACACTCTTTAAGAATATTGAGCAAAGACTATCACAAGTTTCAGCCTGAAAGTAAGTGATGTCTTTAAAACTATCCTTTGTTTTCTACAAACTAACCTTTTTGGATAAAAGAGATTTTTGTTAAAAATAAAACAAAGCTTTACCTACGGGCAAGCAGCCAGTGTTAAAATAATTGCAAATGAAGGTTATCTATAATCTGTTTCTTAGCCATTATATAAGCAACGGTTTATGGGATCTGGGAGATGGATAACATTGTAAAATGGCTGCAAAGCCCCTCCTTAGCCATTACGTTTTATGTAGCTAATTCTCAAGTTATGAATGGGAAATAAATTAAAGGCAATCATTTTAATCGCCCATAAAATGACCTTACGGTCGTTTGAGTCAGGGTGAAGCTTATTTTAGATTTAAATTCAGATACAATGTTTCATTACGATAAATTCGTTCGTAATATGAATTATTTACGACTTGTTCTTCCAAATTATTTCCTTTACAATGTATGCTTTATGTATCTTCGATTTTATTTGGCTCCCTTTTACTTACTTTCTTTATTTTTAAGTTATGCTAAAGTTCCAATTATTCTATTTGCATTTCCAATTTTCTTACTTACATTACATTCATATAAACAGTTTAACCGACTACATTTACAGAATAATTAGACAAGTAGCCTTGTCATAATTTACTGCATTGAAATCCTCGATTTACTTCTTTTGCATTGATGCTATCTGTATTACCAATCTAAAATCTACCCTCAAGATCAAGATCAGCATAACCACAATTATCTACTTCATTTAAAACTTTAAACAATTTCATTTTAATATTTTATTTCTGCTGTCGGTACAAAGTTTGTAAATTACTTCCCTGAGCTGGGCGTGTCACCAAATTCTAATTAGTCGCCGTGTCTGGCATTAGCTAGTACTAGGGAACGAATCACGATAGTGCGCGACAATGGCGGCTCTACATTAGCATTACATTTTAGACTAGCCTTTGGTTTGACATGGATAAGTTCTGCAGCTGCCTTGTCTCTAAGTTATGGTAAGTTTATTTAATTTTTTTAATTTGATTTCGCTTGGAATTGGTTGTAATCATGACAAAGGGAAAAACAAAATATTACTTATGTTATTTGAAAGCTTTGTAGTATTTTTTTCTTGACGATTTATAAACGTATTTGTTTTCGTTATACAATGATTTAATAAGAATTTAAAACAAGTAAGTAATTGAAGATTAATTCCGACTTATTTTTTAAGGTCAGTCAGATAGTGTGTGTTTCGAAATTAAAAAAGGATTGCCATTTTCCTCCATTTTCAACCAAACCTTTTATTTTTAGCCTTTATTTTTCATATATTAATTGTATTTACATTTGTTTTATAGTTTTGGGTACAAGAATTCAGTTCGTAAGGTTTTATAGGTACTCTTGGAGCGGTAGTACAGAGATTTAGAGCTTCGATAGTAGGTACATAAACGTATGACGTCATACCACGTCGCCTGGAGACGTATGTGTTGTACTTCCGATGTTTTATTTCAAATAGGTAAGTTATTTTATTTAGTTACCTTCATAGGAGGTACACGAAACTTCATAGGTACCTTAAGAACGGTTTTGTGTGCCCATGCACGATTTTAATTCTGATAATGGAATTGAAATGTTTTAATCAACTGAATGTACAGTTACTTTCCCATTTCACATGAAAATTTATGCAACTGGTCCAATTCTTAATTTTTTACCATAATTTGGAATCAAATTCAATACTAAATTGCATTAATGTGATGTTACAATCTAGACATTAGGTACTCATATTAGTCTCATTCTTCTTCCATAGTAAAAGAACTTACTTCCGAAGCAAGTAAGACTGCGCAGATTTTACTTTGACTTTTTAAATTGGAATAAATACGTAGATACGAGATATATTGTTAGGTATGTTAAAAGCAAACGAAATATAAGTAAAAAGAGAGAAGGCTATCGACACACACATGTATTACGTCTTCAATTCTTTCACAAATTCGCGGGCTCCGCCACGTACATAGATAATCTATCACCATAGTCTATACTATGACCATAGAGTATATTTACCACAGATACACAACAGATATTTTACCCATTTACAACTTTTATAATAGGCGTCACAATCAATATGTTTTTACAGATATTTATGTCTATAATATAGGTGATGAAAACTATTACAGATAACATAACATAAAAACACGCCTTTTATCCCCGAAGGGGTAGGCAGAGGTGTACATTATGCCACTGTACAATGTAACACCCACTTTTCACTATTTACGTTATGAGTCCCATGTAATAGGGGGTGAGCCTATTGCCATATACATATTGGCATAGATGCTATTACACAATATTCTGTACGATCCATTGGGAAATCGCAAATAATTTAATGTTACGTAACCTATTAACTAGTGACGTAACAAAACTTGTCGGTTTTCACGAATCAACAACAAATTAGCCCTAAATCTACTTTCAATATAAATTATTACCGAAATTAATTTGAACTTTGACGTTAATCAGAATTTCAGGTTATTTGGTTCACGTGTCTATTTAACTGAAATGCTGAAATTAAGCTGAACTTTGATATTTGAGGTTAAGGGGCTGTCCAGACGAGAGACTTTTGTCTGACTGATATTATTTCAATGGATATTGTATTTTTGCTTACCAGATGGGAATAGTGTGAACCTCTCGGAACCTCTCGATCTTTGTCCAATAAGGAAATAGCTAGTGTCATATCTTTGGATGTTCAATAGGCAGAGGGGAGAAGGGGTAGGCAGAGGTGCATTTTACGGCACTTAATGCCACTATACAATGTAACACCCACTTTCCACTATTTATGTTACGAGTCCCATGTAATAGTCTATTGCCATATATTGGGCACATTTCCAGACTCCGTGCTACTACTGAGATTTAAAAAAACCAGTAATATTTTGCTCGACCCGAGACCCCTTGCCCGTCACACTTGTGACCACTCGGCCATCGAGGCAGAGCAGCAGAGTACTAGTATGTATGTAAAAAAATTCACGGCGCGTTTTAAATTCTGCCTCCATACCGCCACCGCGCCGGGAGCGGGAAAAAGTTGCGCCGTGAATAAATACTTTTCCATCCAAACTTTTTATACCATAAACTGTATGAATCTGTTGTCAATGATAACGATTTAAAAAATAGATAGACTCTCAATGGATCACTTCCACTATCCTTAGGTTTTGACATCGTCACCGGACAGAAGTCGCTCGTCTGTGCAGGTCCTCACCTTTATAACTGTGGTTTATTTGAAACTAATTATAGATAGACTTAAAAGCTCTTTAGTACATGAAAATTTAAGTTTTATTGCTAATTTTAACGTTCATTACGGTTTACAAAAAGTTTATATTTACTTTAATTTGTTTAAATTGTGCCTCTTATTGTTTTTACTGTAAATACACCCCCGTGTGCTAACCGGCTGAAAATAAATTCGTAATGTTTGGGTAGTATTTTCTATTGATGTTTATTACAAATAAAATTAAACAGTTTGTTAGCTTTAACCAATTAATATCCGGAAAGCTAGAATAAACATGTTTATATTTGATTTTGGTTCAATTCTAGGTACAAACTATTCGGTTTCTGAGAAATTAAACATTATTTTACCTACGTTAAATAATATCTAACGGTATCAAATAAAAAAAAATGCTTCAAAGACTAAAAAGATTGGTAAAAAGCATAAATAAAAAAAAAACAACATTATTATTCCCGCCCCTATCCCAAGCTTTTCGAAATTCAAATCAAATTACTATTCTAAAATTATAAACAGTAATAAACATAAAATGTTTTACGATTTACATTTCCGTTATGCATCGGGGTCGCGTGATGGATATGGAATGATGATGTCGATCGATGGAGACGAGGGGACAGCACATCGGTACATCGGTACCTGATAGCCGTTATCGTGATAACCAACAGTTTTGACTGATTGCCTGATTGCCTCCATTAATTCCTATTAGGGTAAGCCGCAGTGACGAACTAGCTGCCTCCCGACATTGTCGTGGTAAATTGAATAAGTTTTTGAAATTCGAACTCCACGATCGGTGATTTAAATGGCGGGTAAGATTAGGTATTATTATTTAATTATCTTTTTGCTTTTTGAAAAGTTTAACGTTTTTGTATCTTCGTCGAAACGTTGAAATTGTTTTTAGTGTTTTATACTATTTGTAACGGTGTGCCATATGGTAGTCGTTGGATGTGAAATATAGTCGAAAGCATTCGAATCTGACCAAGATTCAGTGCCGTCCCCAACCTAGTTAGCACAAGGCCAGGAGAAAGAAACATTTAATAACATTTACGAGCCTATTTTTCATTTTGAAATATAACGTTTAGTTTTACAAATAAACCCTTTTTGTTTTCTAGTTCTTTGCTAAAAAATGTTGCCAATAATCACAGATAAAACGCACTTCATTTTAATGTGTTACTAAACTACAGTTCCTGAAGCATTGCTTGCGTTGACAGCAACAGTATGATTCCTCTATAATACCTCACGTAATATAGCGAAGCATGAGATCAGAAGACGGTCACAAGGCGTGCAGGACGTACACATTATGAGTATTGTAACACAAATAAATTATTAAATTATCTATTCCAAGATAATGCAGTGATTGGTGCCTTTACACATAGTATGTACATGAACGGCTCTTTGGTTTCAGCATATCTCCCAATGTTGGTAACAACATCTCCAAGTTTGTCCCCAACATCCCAATATGCTGAACCAACAGCCAGATAGGACGGTCACAAACGGCAGCCAATGTTGGCCAAGACAGACACAAACACAGGTACAAGGTCGTATGTACAATGGAGTGACGCACACGCATGCTGAGTCCTAAGGACTGTTACTCACTCTCAACCGCTTTAGTAGCAATCCTATGGATTTCTCCTTGGATTTACTTCGCCATAGTTCTGGCAATTTCTTTTTCATCCCTTTCGGACTAGGGTTCTAAATCAGGCAGCAAAATATTATTATTTGTATTGTCAGGTTTATGAATTTTATGTTCTGTGTGTGTCTCAGAAGTGCCTGTACCTGTATTTATTGTTGTTGGTCTTCGTTTGTAAAAAATATCTAAATAAATGTCGTGTTTATTAAGTCTGATACTTACGCAGATTTCTGTAAAACATTTTCGTATAAAATCGAGTTACAATAATAACGCTGAGCTAAGATTAATGTGCAGCTGTTTGGTTGTGTAAATATTCGAATGCGATTCAAGGAATATTTTCGTAAAGAGAACAAAACAGTGATATCTATAAGTGGAATCTAGAACAGTTTGTGTTTCACGACTGTTCAAGTAGTCCTAAATATTCCTTTAGCATTGAACTCGAAGATAGATAGGCAAATAGAAAGATAATATACTAGTAGTAGGTAGTCAAGGAGATCGTGGAGATCGCTACAGTGGATCCCAGATTAGCTATAAACCATTATTTGACATGTAAATCAGTTTGAACTCGAGATTGTATGTTAATGTTACCTATTAATGTAAACAGTGGAACAGTTCGTGAAGAGCAAATATCCATGGTTTGGTAGTGGCGTTCGTGTTTGATCAATGTTGCTAGATCTTACATAATATACAAAACATTATTTGTTTTATGCGCTAAACAATCAATACACTATTACACTGAGTTCACTATATTGCCATTTACACAGTTTCTTTTACAAAATTAGGTTTAATGTAATTAAAAAACACAATAAACTTTTGAAATATTATTTTGGAAAAGTTCGTTAATGTTTGGTATAATATTTTATGGAAGAACGCTTACCTTCTTCGGCGCCATAGCGAGGTGCTCATAAAAATAAAACTAAACAAATTAAATCGAATACAATAACGTATGTTTCAAAAATCTGGACGAGGAGAAAAAGTTTGACAAATACGTAAATAAAATTTGTGACAGAGAGTTGTTAGTTGTAGGGATGCGCGCGCAGGGCTGCGTTGTCATGACAACGGGGTGGAGCGCCCCTCAAAATCTAGTCGGGCTGCAGCACCGTGCAGAGTTGTGACGTGTTTTCTAATAGACCGGTCTCATCTGGTCTATCCCAAAAAGGTACCTAATCAAAATAATTTAATATACCTTGTGTATACGACAAAAGTGTTCATTGTAGTGTATAGCAAAGTTATATTTAGAATAGTCACGCGATGTGTTGATTGATAGTGTAGTAATAGGTGATCGTTGTGTCCTTTATGTAGTGCGTAGGTGTTCAATTAGTCCATTCCGCCTAGTGTTAATGTCGTAGGGACGAATTATAGACACATTAGTGTGATTACCACAGACTAATTCGAAGTGCACGGTTTATTGTTAGTAGAACTCATTGCGGTAATTATTGCAAACACGTTGTTTGAAACACAAAGGAAAGGATTTACAATGAAACAAGTAAATCATTGTATAAAGTAATACAAATATATTGTTCATAGATAAAGTAATTATGTTTCCTTATACATATAATTACGTTTCTCTTCAATTGTTGAATTATTAATTCAGGTATTAAAACAGTTGATATTTTAGGAACACAGGCGACATCTAGAATTCGTCGCTCTTAAATATAATTTGCTCGGTCTGTTTTCGTCTTAAGTTTGAAACATTGCTTTCCTTCAGACCCAATTAAAAGTAAATAGTCGTGTATCTTTAACAAAACCAGGAAGGGTTATTTATAGACACGATGTTTGTTATGTGGTTAACCAATTAATGTAGATATCAGAAACTACAATATTAATACCTTTGTTTTTAAAAACATTTTCTAAAGCGTCATGAATTTATGTAGCTTTTTTGAAAAATAACATCGGCTTATGTATGAATCGTGGATGTAGATCATCGGCAGGAGATGTGTATCGAGTGTTTTTATAAAAAGTTTTGTCTAAATCACATTTACTTAGGTATATTTTGAAATAATAATATCACAATTATAAAATGCTACAAATCGATGAGTATTTTTCGAAACAATACAAATATTAAATCATCATTGGCCTTAGTACGAGTTTGTTTTATGTTTAAAGTATTCGAAACGAGTACGCGTTCTGCGCTTTCATTGGTTGGTTCATTTACACCGGCCAATCATAGCGCAGACCGCGTACTCGTTTCGAATACTTTAAACGTAAATCAAACTCGTTCTTTGGCCTCTGATTGGTTGGTTCATTCGAGCCAGCCAATCAGAGCGCCGAACGCGTACTCGTTTCGAATATTTTAAAAGTAAATTAAACTCGTACTAAGGCCTCTGATTGGTTGGTTCATTCGAGCCGGCCAATCAGAGCGCAGAACGCGTACTCGTTTCGAATACTTTGAACGTAAATTAAACTCGTACTAAGGCCTCTGAACTCCATTATATATCACATTCCATTTCTAGCTATTCCCAGTTATTTTCTTCGTTTCTGACATTTACAAATCCGTTTGTAAGCAACATGGCATCCCATTTTGAAGCTACAATAAGTCTTATTTAAATAATATATATTTGTACTTCTGCATAATGCATCACCGGTCTAAGCTCTGAATAGAGTGTTGCTATTTATATTGTGCACTCTAATACTACTTGTGTATATATTATATGATACATTATATTTTATATTAGGAATCCAGTTTACGGCCTTGTTTACAACTGTTGAGATTGATTGCGTTTCGGAATGTTATTGATTTAGCTTGCCAATTCGGTTCGGTGATATTTCCTAATGTTAAAAATGCTGTTGGTCTCGTTTGAACCATTATTTGAGGTAAAGGACATATTGGCACCGAAACGGATTGTACCTAAATACAAAATAGTTTAAGTGGCCATATACTTTCGTTTAATTAAAAAAACATAATGATTTGACAAACAACATGGAATCAGAGTCCTTACTGATTGAAATGATGAAATTATATTTATTTCTGTAAATAGGTTACAAAGTAACAGTTTACACGTCAATCTTTAAATTTACTTACTTTACTAGACGTTACTAGATGAGGGCCAGGCCATTCGTTTAAGTTATGTTTCGCTAGAATCAGTGATCGACCACCAAAACAACGTGGAACCCATTGTTGTAAAAGTGCTAGTGCACTGATTTGTGACATAAAATATCTTTAAATACGAAAATTGCACTCTTTTCAAATTATATTTCTTCAATTCCAGGGAGGTTCAAGTGATCAGACGGTGTCAACGTACAAGCTGGCGGCTGAAGGTGACCAGGGCGACGGGTTGTTGATCCCTGCCCGAGAGCCTGATGACAGCGGGATTGACAGCGACGACGCTGTCAGGAGGCTGATACTGGCTGATGAGAGACTACCGGTAAATTGAGATAGTCACAAACTTGCAAATGTAGCATAGAGCCCAGTTCAACTGGAGGGCCAGAGCCTTCTTAATTTCAATTCAGTGTGCCTGGTGGCATTAGAGGTAATTTGAGAACTATTTCGACTGAGCTACAGAGCTTAGTACGTAAACTTGACTGCGGTCTCGATGCTTTTGGTCCTTATATATCTCTAAGACGTATAATAGTGATATTTCGTAGGTAATTTAAAGAAAAAGAAATTTAGGCGAGACTATCCTTATTCGAAAGGAAAATCTTTCAGGACATTTTCTTATTGGAAAGAAAATTATTTTTCCAAATTTTGGTTTCAGTTCACTGATGAGAGTAGCAGTGAAGATGAGATGCACATCCCGTCTCCAACGACACACAGGCGAAACGAGCGGCGGGCTAGCATGGTAAGCTAACCAGACCTAACCTGAAATACTAACGCTACTGAAAACTATACATACATAAATATATATGTACAGCTTTGTTATGCGTACAAAATACGAAAGTGTTTCTAACGGTTAAAGTAATATTGTATAACCAGTCTCCACCATAGCAAATAGCTTCATAATTCTATTTTTGAGTTCGAAATTCTCATCTTTGATAGTCTTGCTGAGGCCTTAGATGTCCTCGACATTTTTAAAACAGTTAATAGTGTGATCCATGACAAGCAATCAAAGAAAATGAGGTAACTAAATTTTTATTTACAGAGAAAAATGCAAGAAAACCAGGACCTAGTAATAATGCAGTGGCCTCAGGAACACTACACGAAAGACCAGAACCCGCCTGGAAAGGCCACGCCTGACCGGTCTTCTCCACCTCTCTACGAAGTGGAACTAACTGCTTCTGATGAAGACGATGATGCATCAGTTTTGGAGCTGGTCATCCCGATGCACTCTTCAAGGTACCAGAGAGTACCAACGTCTTCTCCAAAAAAATCGAAGCCAAAAGTGAAAAGGTATTTATGCAGCATGATCTGCTGCGGGCGAAAGTAGGTTCGTTTTTAATCTTGATGTTTTAAACTTGTTGTTATGGAAGTTTAAGTAACGATTTCTGTAAATCGGTTTGATAATGTTGTTTATGATGTTCGAGGAGTATTCATTTTAGTTAATTTGGAAAGAAAATATTTACTAATAGAATTGGGTTCCAAATATTGGGGCTCCACAAGCAATGTCATTTGGATGACGTTGGCAACCCATTTCATTCTGAAGATAAAATAGCAGCATCATCCAAATAGAATATGGAATACTCCTCATTTGTTTGTAAGTTATAATAATGAGTTTAAGTTAGTTTATTTATCCCACATTAACTTTAAATTTACTTTACGATAAATAGAAGTATATCTACGTAAGTGATCAGGAAAAAGGAATCTACATGCTTTTAATTTGTGAGAAAAACTCTTTCAACGAATCTTTTAGATTTTTTTACTGCGGTTGATGTGTGATCTTATGTATATTCGTCAATTTAAGTATGTAGTTATCGTTTGTATAAGCACATTATTGAGTGAGAATTTGTTGGTCAATTAAGAAATTGATGTTGTAAACATTTGTGTAAACACTCGCTTTGTATATTACTTTTAAATGAATGCGCTTAACCAATTGTAAAATTCGAATAACATAAGTTCCTTTATTTAAGTATTTGGAATATAAGTGTGGGAGAGCCATGCTTCGGCACGAATGGGCCGGCTCGACCGGAGTGATACCACGACCTCACAGAAAACTGACGTGAAGCAATGCTTGCGTTGTGTTTCGACGTGTGAGTGAGGTTACCGGAGGCCCAATTACCCCCTCCCATTCCCCAATCTCCACAATTCCTGAATCCCCAACGATCCTCAAACTCCTAATCCCCAAAAGGCCGGTACCGCACTTGTGACGCCTCTGGTGTTCCAGGAGTCCATGGGCGACGCCGATTGCTTACCATCAGGTGATCCGTTTGCTCGTGTACCGGCTTATGCCATAAAAAAAATAAGTTATATTTCATAGTAATATTGGTTAGCCTAATATTTAAAAAAAGAAATGGCCGAACAAAATATTAAGAATATTGATAACAACATGAAACGAATACGAATAATTAATTACATTTGATAATAATATCAAAAAGAAATATCAGACAAAATAAATTAAATTATTGAAGACTGAAAAATGAGTTGCCAATGAATTAGCACAAACAACTAAAATCATTTTATGAAGAAACTTTTCGCAAACGGATTGTAGCTTTAATTCGTTAGTTTTTATTATTTTTAAGAATAAATATCGTATTTAAGAATGTATATGTTGAGTATTTTTTTAGTACTAAAGTTTCCGGATTAAGCATATTTTATATTTAAGTAATTTTTGTCATTATTAATGACTTTTATATTTTTCCGGTGGCGCTAGTGGCGTATAAAGTCTTGAGAGTCCAATAAATGTCGTTGAACAGCTGATTGACTACATTAATTTGCTTTCGGTAAAACTATTAGGACATTTTGAGACTTTGTAATACCTATACTAGCACCTTTGTCGCGGAGAACCTAACGGGTAACCGGGGCTCCTGCTCTACGTGCAGGAGAAGGAACGGGGTGGTTTTTAGTCAGTAAGAGTCTGACACTCCCTCCCGCCTCTCCCAGGCGAGAGCAGTCATTCGATGATTTTCCCCCCTTAAAAAAATACTAGCACCTTTAATGATAATTTGAATTTCATTAAATATGATTAATTGACAAGGTAAACACGAGACTCGATTTTCGTCAAGCAATACACTATCGAGTTTGTTGATTAAAAAAAAGAATTTTAATACAGAAAATGGCTAAAAGTTGCCAGTTTCCTATGCAAAAATAAACGTAATATGTATGTATAATTTTAATTACGATTCTAATGTTACAAATTCAATGTTGTGCCATGAATATAACCGGCCTACAAGAAGTGGGTCATAATTTTTACTAAATATTTTATTAAGTACCTAAGTGAAGCATTACGGTCTAAATTATTATTTAATTGTAATAACGGCATAAATATTGATGTAGATAGTGGAACTATCCTTAACTTTAATCTCTAATAAACCACGTTTAAATTGTGACTGTGTTGTTTTATTTCTCCATTATTGTTATTTGGGTAGGTATTATTGTCCTTTCATACTTCATTTTGTATAGTGAGTGTATAGTTTATACGAAATAACGAGATGTATTGTGACGGTATAGTAAAATTAAAAGCGCGTATTCCTTTTTTATATGTGACTCTTCTGGTGTTGAGGTTGTCCATTGGCGGCGCTGATCGCATACCAGCAGGTGACCCATCTGCTCGTTTGACTCTTATTTGTTTAAAAAATTACATACAGGTGTCCCTGAAGTCGACGATCAAATAGTACGTGGTGATCGGCAAAGTATGAACGTCGACTTCAAGGACACCTGTTTGTGACTTTTACTATATACCATATTAAACTGTCAAACACCAAGCGATCACCGGCGACCGCAACCTATTGTTCTATAATTGTGTCTACAAAACCGGTACTCGACGAGTTAAATGAAATACAGAATGCTACCATACTATACCTCTACATAATACACTATACGGAATATGGTGACCACGTCTTCTAATAAACTTAAACTATCGATCACTTTGACTGGATTTTAGTGTTACATTGTTCTCGAAGAATCCAAACAGCAAAACTATGTAACTAGAGAATTGTATTGTGAACCTGATTGAAAAAGAGTAACCTATGGAGTTTCTTGCTTGTTCTTCTCCATAGGAACCCTCTCTACACCTTGGAATGAGTACACTTTGGAGCTTCACTTTTAATTTTTTTTTGTTGACATTCAAAAGTGCCTTTCTGGTCTAATTGAAATAAATGATTTTGACTTTGACTTTTTAAAATGCGATCTCCAAGAGTAGGTATCTATGGCAAACCTTCTTGTAGGTAGATTGTCTACTTAGTACTTGGTACTCACAATTAATTATAGTAACAAGGTACGGGAAATAAAAAAGAAATTGGTTATTGTCACAAAATTTCACATTATTACATTCACAGAAATGCGGCAATTGCATGGACGAGTGTGAATTACGAAGGAGACTGGTACTGCTTTCCAAACTAAGCCATAAGCTTATATTTTGGAAAACAGTGATACAGGCGCGGAGTATGTGAAATGGTATTAATGTATTGATACATTTTTGGTCATCTTTTTCCCTTTTTTGACAAAATTGTCATAAGTATTATGTGGAAGAATTCGAAAATAAAAATTCGATTTTAATAACATTCGGATAATTTCATGTGAGTTTAAATCAGTTTATAATTATCTAATTTTAATTTAATTCTGTGTTTATCTATAGCTTTTGAATGGGTTTTGTAAATCCACCAGATGGCGTTGGTACGCAATGCAACATTATTCTCTATTCAAATAGGTTCATAGTTGCCGTGAAGGTGGACCGATTCATATCGCCGCTACTCGACAATAGATGGCGTTAAACACAAATTTAACGTTTAAGAAAATTCACGTTCCGATGAAATATTGTGAAAGAAAACACTTTAAGCACGTTTTAATGTTAAGCTCTTCATTGTGAAGACAAAAGAAGAGTAAATTGGAGACGATTGTATCTGTTCTGAGTTTGACAGGCGTGGGCTTGACGTCCAGGGTGGGGACTTTTCTTTTTTATTATGTTACTATTTATGACTTTATCATTATCTGTGATAAAATTGGGAATATTTGATGTAGCTACTCTAAATCAGTGATCTCAATAAAACAACGATTAGCGGTAGTTTCGATGGTTATTTTTTAATAACGTCACGGTGAAGACGTCTACAGCTTAAAAGGGATTTTTCTTTACAGTCAGATATGTAATTTACTAGAAATTAAACAACATGGTCAAACACGTAGAGAATCAAAATACTGCGGTCGAGTGGTCATAAGCTGTTGATTCTCGGGTTGTCCAAAATAATAAAGGGGATTTTAAATTCTTCAAAAATTCTTGTAGCTGCTCTCTCGGAGTCTGGAATAGGGATGATGACAGGGTATGAAAATTAAAAATATTTAATCCATCAGTTAGGTAATGAAAAAATATTAGACACGTATTTTTTATTTCGTTGTATGATAAAATTATACTTAGAGATATAACGAATCAAAGTTTAGGAGTTGAGGCTAAAACGTCATTTCTACGTACAACAGTGACGTCACGCGACATTTCGAATCAATATATCTTCGATACTATTCGTTTTCGTAAAAAAATAAATACGTGTCTAATGTTTTTAAATAATCTACCAGACGGATATTATAATAAAAATTTGTCGTCTACCCTATTATGCTCTATTATGTGGAAATAAGTTTTATTTATGCAAAAAGCCGATAAACGAGCAGATGGATCACCTGATGGTAAGCAATTGGCGTCGCCCATGGACACCTCGAACACCAGTGGCGTTAGGTGAATATAAGTGCGTTACTTTTTGGGAATTAGGGATTCGAGGAATGTTGGGGATTAAGGGATTGGTGAAGAGGGTTTGGGGGTAGTTGGGCCTCCGGTAAACCTCACTCACACGACGAAACACAACGCAAGCGTTGTTTCATTTCGACTTTCTGTGAGGCATATCACTCCGGTCGAGCCGGCCCATTCGTGTCGAAGCATGGCTCTCCCACACTTGAAGGTTCGCGTACTACATGGTAAGGCACTGGTGAAAATTTGGTGGTTACTTATTTTGTTATCTCTACCACCTCTACTTACCTCTTCGTATAAGTTAAAACAACGTTTTTCTTCTCAAAATAGGTACCAACTGATAGATATGCAACTCTAGATTAATATTTTCTATTGTTCTCAGTATACACGGTTTTTCAGAAGCGTCTGCAATTAAATTGCTACAACATACTATAGAGGTATATTCGCATATTACTTACTATATATTCTGTAATATGAACTTGCACAGTAAGTACAACAAATAAGATAATTTAGGTGTCCATAGTTGTGTAATATTAAAATTAAAGTTCTTTCTAATATAACTTTGAAATCGCCAACTCGCGTTCAGCAAGCGTGCTGATTAATGCTCAAACCTTCTCCGTGTGAGAAGAGGCTTTGCTCAGCAGTGGGCATTTATAGGCTGTTGATGATAATGATGAAATTAAAATGTTAAATTTTAAAACATTCTGTTATAAGGGGTGGGCTACTAAGACTTTTTCTGTGCGGGAATCAAATCCGCAACATGTGGCGCAGCAGCCGGTCGCTCAATCACTATGTGAACTGTGCAGTCGAGTTAATAAAGTCTAGAGTAGAGTAGAGGTGATTGATAAGTGTGTCTACTTCTATATCTACTTTTATATCCAGATGAAAATTATCACGTTGGACTTCATATACCTAATATTAATAAATACTTCTATTGAAAAAGCCAGAAAGAAACTTTCACCTGAAATTGAATAGAGATTTCATCCATAAGTAGTTTACTTGCAACTAGTGGGAAAAAACAATACATCGTTCGCAGAACAGTGCAAATACTATTGCTTCCACACAATTACGTTATAACAGGGGTACTGCGATCCCGTATCCGTTGGCAAGCGCTGTAATTAGCCAATATTCCTTTAACGAGCGCTCATTGTAGCCAGCTATTAGGATCGCCATGTTCCACCCAACATCATAATAGCCTTAAAGTGCATTCAAATATTACGCTCATAATCCTCTTTGAAAAGCACATCTAACTAGTTTAGCATATTGTATTGGTCACAGTATTGTGTATCCAAATGTTGTGTCCAACACAAACACAAATAGCTAAATGTTCCATTAATAGTAACTACTTATATAGGCTATTACCCCTCACAGTACATAGACGCGCTGAAGTAAATAATACCCTACTTAAAGTGTAGATTACCGAGCTCGAATAAAGCGATACGTTTGCATATTCAACGACAATAAAGACTAGTCTAGACTGTCTAACAATATCTAGTTCTTCAAGCAGTTGTATGTAAATTGTCACGAGTTAATAAGCCGGTGTACACAGGATGAATAATTGCAAGAAATCTCAGCTCCATAATCTCTAAACCCAAGTATAGGTGAGGTTTATTAGGCGCGCTTTTAAAGCGTGAGTCGCACGTGAAGGCTGTTTAATCGCGTCTGGGTGGAAGGCGGCGGCGGCCCCGCGTGGCTCGGTGGCGCGGGGCGGCGCCCGACCCGCCGCCAGTCGCGCCACAAGCCCCGGAGGGGCTGCACGTGTCCTCGCTCCCGCCGACCGACTTATGTAACCATCCGCACGGTGAGTCCGCAGCCTCCGTGCCCCTTCCTCCCCGACATCGACCCCGCGACTCGAACCCACGCGTTCTGTCACACGGCCGCCCTCCGCGGAGCGAGCCACCGCGCGACTGATAACCCTCGGATACTTTCGAACGTTGTGCTTAACCGTCAGCTGAGAGGTGACATAATCGATGCAGTAAGTACCGGTGTCCGGTGAGTGCGAGTATTCGCGGAATGCAGGTGCGTTATGTAACGGGAGTCTCGCGGACTGACTCCGCCGGTCGCTCGGAACACAACGTTTACGCGGCAGGATGTGACGCTGTTAAGGCACCGCTTCTCGGAAGATCGTCGCTCGCATGCCTCGCTAATGACACTCGTTATCACGAACGATCTCTCGTCTCAAACGCTTTCGAAAATCACGTGGAAATCGTTTTGGCCATATCTTCTCTCACATTATATCAAACAATCGCTGGAAATTATGTGTTAACCGGCTACGTAGGTACTCGTGCTTAAACAGGCACGATCTCGACTTCCTCAGGTAGAAGTATAATAAGAACGTGAGTGAAGAGGTTGGTATAGAGCCGCCTAATTGGAAGGTTGGATCCATATAAAAAATCCATTCAATCGTGGAAAATTTGTTGCCGGGATAAGCGTGCTATATCTGCTGATTTATGGAATACATTCTATGGAATCAATATTAGTTAATGGTGACGTTATTGGAGGGCCAACACATTATATTTGACCCTTTTCAAATTGATATTGAAAGAAGTTGCCTGAATGGTCCCCAATCGTAATATCGTTAACAAGGAGTCTATAACCATTATAGTCAACGAGTTACAAATGTTGTATAAAAAGCTCGTCCATGGAATATTTGGAAAACGCTAGGCTACTGATATTTTCTTGAGAGAACGTCGTTTGAGACAAAAACTCTGTCAAGTAGGTGACCATTTATCATGATATTGCTGGTGACATTTGGGCAAAAGTGTTTTATCTGAACACCTATTATTGTAGATAAGTTTTTCAAAGTGGTCATTTATGTTTTTATTGTTATTGTGTATCAGGAATTATGTACAGTTACGTAGTCTTTGTGTTCAGACATTCCCATTAATTATTGTAAAAGTCTACCTTTTGACAGAAAAGCCCTAATTCACCATGTTTTCGTATCGGTCTGTTTACTTTCTTCACGCCATTACCTATATTTTGTTGTCGTCATAAAACGGATCAATCAAGTTGTCAAGGTAATATCCGTCACCCACCAGTTATGTATGAAAGTATTGGAACAATTTCTTTTGTTATATATCCACGTCCTATTTATAGAGCTGGAAAGTGATTGATAACAATAAATTCATAACATTTCATTAATTCATTATTTGATTATGTATTTGTAAATCGTTGCAGAGTGTCCCTTCGTCCAGCATACTCACCATGGAATCCTGATATTACATGAATGTCAAAAAACTGTTCTGAAATAGTGCTAAATAGTGCCCAAAGGAAAAAAATAGTGCTCTTGTACTTGCGAAGTTATAGCCATAGTTCGATGAGTATGCTGGACGAAGGTTTCGCCCAGCATACTCACCTCCGTCCGGAGAATCTGTATACGCTTCAAACATAATTCATACTTCAAAAAATAGTTCCCAAATAGTGCCAAACGGTGCCCAAAAAGAAAAAACAGTGCTCGAATAACTTCGGAGTTATAGGCTTCGTTCAGTGAGTATGCTGGGCGTAGGTTCTACGCCCAGCATACTCACCTCAGTGCGCGAATATCGAACGAGCTATAGGTACAATTTACGTCTCAAAAAATTGTGCTTGAAATAGTGCCCAATATCAGTCCAATTTTTGCTTGACTTTTGACCTAGAAAACCATTAAATTTGATTGTAAACTTCTACATACATTACATTGAGTACAGTCGAATACAATATTATTAACTTTCTTTCTAACAATTTTTGTCTTGTGTAAATTATTAATTGTCTATGTAAGGGAGTATTTACTTTAGAATCGCAATATTATTAATTACACATTATTTTAATAATACTTTATAATAATATGATTAAGCCTTCGCGCGTCGCATGGGACCCCGGTAGCTAGGAACAATGATTTTATATATTTTGTCTAGATCACGGCGCTTGAAGGATTAAGATATCAAATGAAGTAAATCATGCATGAAAAATAAAGTTGCTGTTATTAATGCTTACATTACAACTGACAAAATTATTCAAAATAATCATTTTCCGGATCAAGGACGGTACCACAACGTTTACGGAATTGACCTGTATTCCTCATGTGATAAAGTTCAATATAGTGTGGCAGTAATGGATGCACGTACGGTCAATAGGTATGGGGCTTACGACGCGCGGCGCCCGCGACGCAAATGAATATGTTTATGTTTAAATACTAGATGGCGCTGCCCTAACATCTTACGATTATTAGACAAGACTGATCTGTATTTTGAAGGTGATAAGGGTCCATTTTGTGTCACAAAGCGACGCGCGGCGCCCGCGACGCTTTTATTTATTGGCTGCAAATGACTGTTTTTATTCAGACAAACACACAATGCAATGAAGTAATAGACTTCATTTACGCTTAAAGTTTCATTCATTTATTATTATTTATAAAATATATAATAATGCATTTAATCGAAAGTTTTTGACATGTGAGAAAATACCATAATTATTTCCAATAACATGAAGTCTACAATTAGAAAGTTTAATATTTTTGTCCAAAAACATGTGTCGACGACTGTACCCCATTTTACGTTAGTATGTAGAAGTTTACATTAAAATTTAATGGTTTTCTAAGTCAAAAGTCAAGCAAAAATTGGACTGATATTGGGCACTATTTCAAGCACAATTTTTTGAGACGTAAATTGTACCTATAGCTCGTTCGATATTCGCGCACTGAGGTGAGTATGCTGGGCGTAGAACCTACGCCCAGCATACTCACTGAACGAAGCCTATAACTCCGAAGTTATTCGAGCACTGTTTTTTCTTTTTGGGCACCGTTTGGCACTATTTGGGAACTATTTTTTGAAGTATGAATTATGTTTGAAGCGTATACAGATTCTCCGGACGGAGGTGAGTATGCTGGGCGAAACCTTCGTCCAGCATACTCATCGAACTATGGCTATAACTTCGCAAGTACAAGAGCACTATTTTTTTCCTTTGGGCACTATTTAGCACTATTTCAGAACAGTTTTTTGACATTCATGAAATATCAGGATTCCATGGTGAGTATGCTGGACGAAGGGACACGTTGCAGATGGAACAAAGCATTTGAATTAAGTTCTATCAATGACGTTATATTAAAAAAGGAATTCTAATTACCCGCGAAAATTGACTCGATTTTAATTCGCGGACAAAGACTAAAAATATATTTTGTTTTTTAATCGTCTAGGCGCTAAAGCCAAATAATTATTGTTAGAAAATATAAAAACAAAAGATTAATCTTAACAATCATAACATCGGTATTGGAAAAGTTTTCGATTATTAAAACGAAGATTATGAAATCGTTTTAGAAAATTGAATTTGGCCACGGAGCTTCTAAAAAGATACCGTAATGGATATTAGATTCAACTTGTATATTTCTTAATATTTAGCCCGCTGGCAGGTGTGCTCATTTTTAAATATTTAATTTCAATGTAGGTACGAATAGGAGCCTGGTATGTGACAAAATTTTTATATGAGGTTTAGTTTCAAACAGAAAATTGTATGTTATTGTTTTAACTTGAAAAACTTGATAAAATCGCGTCACATTTTTTTATACTAACTATTAATGAATATTAGGCAATCATATACATCTAGGTATAAGTAATTAAACATTCACCATAAATTTACTTACTTGACAAAAAAAAAATCCTAGACAGTTTGACAAAAAAAAAAAATAAGTAAGATCCAGATTCCACTTTTTTTGAAAACCTGAAATGTAAATGTATTTCAGGTGGTCTTTTGCGATATATTTTTACTATTTTCAATACGGCTCAATACGACCCAATCCGTTTCACGCTGCTTCGGGCGCACAAAAATCATTCTACTGTGAAATTTAATTGAAATTGGCTTTAATTGAAGGAACTATTAGCTGCCAAATTCCAATAAACGACCGATCATGTGTCATGGCGGAATTGTAGGCGGTCAGCAATGTGTAACCATTTAGGAAAGTTGCAATTATGAGCATGTAATATTTATTAAGACCTTGTTTGTATTATAAATAAATGACATTAATTTAATATGGCATGAAATGATGTCTAGAAATTTAGTAGATTCATTATTATATTCTTCATAGCTGACTTTGTAACTGTCCCAGATAAAGAACAGCCGAGAGAGGGGTTCTGTCTTGGCGAACACGTCGGTTGTTTTAAATACACGTTCATTAATCTCTCTTTATATGTAATTATGCCTAGAGAATAATATGAATTTATATAGTTTAAATAGGTGTGTAATTCCAAAAATATTTTTAAAACACATACCAACTTATTAACAAGCTCATATAGGAATCTTGCGCCCAAAATGCCATGTCTCAAAAAATTGATTGCTAAAAATAATTTACCGCACAAAAATATTTGTCTTTTATTAGTCGTTTAAGAAAATATGAACCAAATTACTAACGCAATAAAGCTAAAAATAAAATGTTAGCCAGTTTATTAGGCGAGTCAGTGAACTGAAAAATGTCCTGTGTTAGATATTTATGCGCATTTGTTATTGTTTTGGTAGAAGGAAAACAGTTTCTATACTTGGCAAGGTAACAGCTATTTACGTTAAGAAAACGTAAACATCGAAAGTTGTGCTTTTCTTTGGCTTCGACCTCTGCTTTCAAATCACAAATTTGTCTTTTAATAAATACCAGAGCTTTGGCATATTCGCGGTATGTTCCATCTTGATTGATTTTAGTATTATCGTTAATGAAACAGGACGTATATAGTCTTTAGTGAATTGGCCAAGATAGGTATATTTTTTATACCTCTATTATTTTAGGTTATACAGAGCAGGTATAATTACGAAAAAGGCTCACAAATTAGTACTAATGAGCTTAGGTTTAAAGCGTAATAGCTGTAACATCTCATCATGATCAATATCCTAGCCAGGCAACAATCTCGTAATGGCGTATAACGCTACCTACAGCAGCGTTCGTTGTGGATGCCCACATTATTTCTTTTGATGATAAAACTCCTTATACTAAAATTCCTTCTCAAATTTTCTAAAGCA